AAAAGTAAACTTTATACACGATCATCGACTTCAAAGGTGATAGGGTCACATACATCTTAAAGAGGAGAATTTCGGATTCCTTGCACCAACACTGAGAATATTATTCTCCAGCCAAGCACTGTTTACCAATAATCTGAAATAAAAATTATCGCATCTGACCAACTCAATGTGCATTTATCAATTTACCTGCTATTGTGGAGCTAGGTATATAGGTCGTTCGATGCGTACTTTATCCAAAAGAATTCAAGAACATTGTCCGGTGTGACTAAAAACAGGAGGCAACGGCTCAATAAGAAGTTTTATAATCGAACACCTTGAGAACACAGGTCACTCACTCAAGACAGACTCTGTGTTCAAAGTCATCTACAAGGTAAGTAGAAGTCTTCCGAAGAAAACTTGACTGGAACTTATTTGCATTGCCGAAGCAATAGCCTTACATCTGGAAAAACCAGAATTGTGTGTACAACCTTTTGTACAACCTCTTAATCTAGCATAGTCTTAATGTATTAGACTTCTTCTCTCTTTTTCATACTCTTGTTCCTTCACAGTCATCTGCTTCACCTTCCATCTTCCCCTTAAATCTTCTACCCCCGACTGGCTTGTTTTTATTTCCATGATCATCCCGATTACATTTCATTTCTGTTTCAACATTATATCTTATCATGCTGAGCCATCCTTTCCCAATGATACTTTCCCTACCCATTCAAAGTGGAACAATTGTTAGATGGGTGTGGTTGCATGCTGTTTGTAAAGATCAAGTGCGTTTTATGCTGAAAGCACACCTTTATTTTTAGATTATTCCGCAAGCATGTTTCTTCTCGGGTTCATCAATAAAGCATCTTACTTTTTGTTGTCTTCTGACTCAACTTCCCGACCGGGATCACTTTAAGTGAGTATGTATATTAGTATTCTTAAAGAACAAACGCCCAACATACAAAAGCTCTCTAACCCGTCCTCTATTCCTGCAAAATAATTAAAAGCCATTTCAATCAACATGAACAGACGCTGTATGAAAGATCTCAAAGAAGCCCCTCGATGGTGTTAATATGTGATTCCTTTTTTAGTAATCTGCTTTGATCCTTAAAATGAATCAGTCTTAAATGACTTTATCATTACTCCTGCATATGTTCGCTGAACATTCACTTCAAGTGCCTTGGCGTCTAATATACATATAGACTTGACGGGTGGCCGCAATCTAGTAGTTGACTCAAGCAAATAAAATTCAGCAGTTATAAGTACTGAGTCATTACTTTCAGAAGAAACAAGCGTCTAAAGCCAAAGCTGAAAGCAGCATATGGACTGTTGTACTTATACTTACCTTTGTCATATGAGAGGACATTAAAATAAATATCAGACGGTTTGTTGCCTAGTACGGGAAACAGGTGGGACCGGGGTCGTTGCGTTAAATGACTAGACGTTTCTTCAGTCAACATAAAATTAAAAATGTATTACCTCTATAAAATGAAGAAGTCGTATACCATTTTACCGATAATGTCTTATTGATAACAGAAGACTATCGATTAACTTTTAACCAACGAACACAGTACCTAACAGTATTGCACATATTTCTAGTGACCTACTTTTATCAAGAGAACGCGATTGGTGTAATGGAAAAAAATATTATTATAACCAATTGTACCAGGGATTGTTTTACCGTAATTGTTTGTTTAGCTGCACCAAAAGACATACATTCTTCCGTTGGTTGTGACCTTGCACGAATTCGGTTACGCTCGGTAACCACACTTATAACCTGGCACGATCTCGGTATTCTTTCGATACCACGAGATCGCCAACAAATACATCTCGACTACAGCCACCGTCTGACTTCTGATATTTGGCCTACGGGGGATCTTATCAGTTAACTGGCACGTAATCTTCCTGTGATGATCATAGTCAACCGCGACTCAACGCAACACTACATATCAGTGACAACAATAATGTACGTTGAAGATGTCAGTTCATAGGCAAGATCGAATTCTTACAACGTTAAAGTGATATACATGTTGTAACATACATTTTCCATAGAAACATGGAAAACCATTTTAGTGAGTAAGAATATTGTAAGTATTAGTAAACTTGGAACTCCGCCTGTAGCTCATCTAGGGCTACTGCCTTTCTCAAGCCCAAGCAACAGAGGAGGGTTGGGTGTGAGGTCAAAAAACGGCAACCAGCATACATAAATTAAACCACTTAAACTCTCAATGTAAGCCACTTATTCAGAGAGTATATTATTCAAGGACAAAGAATGAAAGACCATCACTGAGATTCAAGAACAAAGGACCAGATGGGTAGAACACTTGGGGAAGTTTTGAGTAGACCAGCTCCATTGGATCCGCCGAATATCGAATCAGTACACAAAGACATTCCTATAGTTGTCACACCACCAAAGATCGAAGAAATCAGGCTGGCCATCGGACAAATCAAGATTGGGATGGCAGCAGGACCTGACAATATACGGTCTGAAGCACTGAAGTCAGACAAAGAATTAACTGCAAAAATGCTGCACATTCTATTCGGGGAGATTAAGTAAAGAAAAATGTGTCGACGAAAGGAAACATTTTCAACCGAGAGTTATTATACTGGACAAGTCGTGTATAGACTAAATGGTGACAATACAGATCATGTTTGAACAATCAAATGAATTTAATTCGTGATTGTACATCAACTTCCTTGACTATGAGAACGCATTTGATTGCGTGGATGTGAGAATGTCTTGGAACCTTCTTCGACTCTATGGTGTTAGCAGCAGAACAAATGGAACTCAAAGCAACTGTCAAACAATGTCATTGTCAGAATCTTCATTACGAATGTCAAGACACTTCCATTGTATGGAGATGAAACTTGGGGAACATCATCAAAAAGGCACAAGTATTCGTGGACAATTGTCTACAAAAGATAATAAATGTCCGTTGGACAGGTATCATCAGCAACAGCCTACTGTGAGAGAGAACAAAGCAACTTCCAGCTGAAGAAATAGCTAGGAAAAGACGTTGGAATTGGATCGGACATACATCATGATAATTACCAAACTATATCACGAGGCAAGAGCTAACGTTAAAAAAACGGAAACGTGGAAGGCCAAGGAACACATTGCGTTTGGAATTGAAAGCAGACATGAAAAAAGATGAATACCGACTGGAAAGGATTGTCCAGGGAGGAATTGGATAGAAGGTGCTTATGTGTGACGTATGCTCATCCTCGATAGGTAACAGATGTATGTAATTAAGTAAACCTCTTCTGTAATATGTGAATTTGGGGTGGCTTGTAGATGCTATAAAATTAAACTGGATTTCGAAAAATAAAGCAACCAAGGTTCAGTGTTGTTTGCAATGTAAAACAACACTTAACTGTTCGGCAAATAAACTATTGTTAAAATGAGGTAATGTTTTATTTTGGCATGTCAAGCTAATGTTATGAACCACAATTTACATCATGAGTCGGCAACTAAGACATTTCCTCCGCTAGGATATTAACAAGGTCGAATCAGTCAGATTTCTCAACTAAATATTTAAAGCGATATAGAAACGAATAATTAAATAAATTTGTGTGGTAGAACTGTATCATAAGTTGAGTGTTTCTTCCAAAACATCCTTAACAGAAATTATCTTACAAATGGTGACGTTGAGGGACGCATATATGGCAAACGTTTAGGTAAATGATACATGGCTGCTGGCTGTAAATATATAAAAGATGGAAACAAGGTGGAGCAACAAGACAAATGACTATGAAACCTATTTCTTCAGAATGGAACAAATTGATGAATGTTTACTCAGCAGATAGGTTTTTAAATCTTCTCTACAGATAGAGCGAAACATCCATAAAAAAACTACAGACATGTAGTGGTATTGGTCCTAACCACACAATCTTCAAATCCGAACATGATATAACTGGAAAAATAAGAATTAACAAAACCTCTTACAATCTGATAACCAGGTTATTATTATCCTTAAAATTAGTGACAGAAGCAGAATTACCTATAAATAGTGAAAACCTATTCCACAGAGAACTGCATCATACAGGGAATACTATGTGAAGTACTAGTTTCTAACATTTAAAGTCGATTAGATAGACACACTGTTGGACATCACAGCAATAGAATAATAAAATCTCCATTCTCAAATCCATACCGACGGACTTTCGAAAAGCTTGGAATGGCGGCGAAAAGATTGTGATAGCATTCTAGATGTAGAAAACGTTCATCGCTCAATCGACTCACAGTACTCTTTGATACACACATTCTCAGAAGCGGCCGTATTTGACATCTAGTTGGCAATTAGTGGCGAATCACTGTAAAAACCTACTAGGACACGTACCTTTAACCGAACTTCCGCGACCGAACGGCTATCCTGACAGATATTATCCTATCTCCCCAAAATGACGTCATCAAAGCGAAAAACTGGATTTATACAACTACTAAAAGCTTTTCTAAAACAGTTGCAACAATCCTTGCTGTATTTATTTGTTGACGACGAAAATATTTTCAAGTTCCTAATCAGATCTTGTCATAAAATTACCAACCGTATGAAACCTAGTGATAATTATAAAGATCACGCAACATTCCACTATGTAAATCATCAACAGTCAATATATAGATTATCGAATCTGTAGTCTAGAAATCAAGTGTTCGGACAGACATATTAAACAAACAGCTTATCGTAACCTAAGCTTACATTCTGGAGATCAACAGAGTAGTGCGCTTTATGTGCTTCAGAGTGTTCATAAGAAAAGACGGATAGCCAATCACATATAGACAAGTGCATGTCCCATTGTATAATAAAAGTTACAATACTAAAATTAAGGAGAAACAATGAACTTAGAAGCCACTCATCTTTGTCGAAAAATAAATTCGCAGCTCTAGTAGTATTTTGTTTGTCACGGTAAATTTCAACTAGTGTCGAATTACTTACCTCCTTACGATGAATTTGTTTTGATAGGTTAATTCATGACTTTTCTGCGCGAGTTCATGAACAGGACTTTTGAAATAGTCGTTGGTTTCCAATATGCTAGTTACCTGCATATCAGAAGATAAGAATAGTGTGAATATACAGTTCGATCAGGATAAGGCTATTGAAGAAATTTGTGTTGCTTGCAACAAGTGTGTCTCACTAAAATTATATAATTTGTTATTGAAGTGTTCAAGCTACTGTCCGATTCCTTACATATGAAGAAGTATCACATGGACTCACAGAAACGCTGGACTTCGTTTACAATTCCGACGTTCTAATTGTTGATATGAGTGACAAGGTTCGGAGAATAAATACGTAATTTCATTGTTTATACATAGACACAACAAGGACATTTGAATTATCAATTAGGAGTTAGAGAAAGTTTAAAACTGTTCGATAATATAGTAATCGTAAACCTTTCGAGTCATATTTTGCTTGATGACCTACGCGTATGTTTTAGTCTTTACTTAACTGGTTTTAGAGTATTTTAAGTAGCAAAACGAAACTGCTTCCATATGTTATTAACGAAAATGGATTTGCTGTCTTAGTGGAAGATAAGTTCCTACAGAATGCCCTCATTGATAATGACATACTCAAAAATCAAATATGCGGCGATCTTGGGCGTTTGTCTGAAGAGCTAGAGGAAATACTTTCAGAAATGTGCAGTGGGGACCGGTAAGTTCTCCGAAAAATTTTTTAGACTAATTTTAGACTAGCGCGTGATAAAATTAGACTTAGAAATTATATTCTAGTCAGCAATAATACATTCATGCTTTCACAGCTCATGTCAACCATACTCCCTACAGGAAATTGCTCATAATGTCTTTATACATAAGTTGATCATGCCTCGAGACATCGTGTCATCCATCAACTTGTATGCTGCAAAACAGATAACTCATACTTCAGAAAAGCACTTTTGTTACCTTAAAGGTAGACAAAACTTAGCGAGTCGTGTCCACATACATCTTTCTCTAATCAGACGTTGCATGTTTACAATTATCATTATAAGTACATTCTATAAATTCATGTTTTTAAATAGTAGACTGACCAAGATAACTCTCAATCTGAATCTTGAAGGAAGTTTATTATAATAAACAAAGATGCCTTCACTTCAGTGTTTTTATTGCGAGAAAACTCAAACCGTCGATGAATTTGTAATAATGCTCGTGAAGGGAAGGCGATTCAAACCCATCTTGCTAACTAATATTGGGAAAACATTTTTACGAAACACAAAAATTCTGATAAATTCGACGTTTCCTCAACTCTCAAAAATGGATTCGACCGGCTTACAGCTTATAAAATATATTGCGTCAAATTTGTACAAAAAACAGAAATCCTGACCACATTCTACATTTCCATCATAAAATAACACTAAATTACCTATGTGACAGATATCCAGTTTTAAATAAATTGAACAAAAATTTTATCTATGATAGCTTGCCTATGAATTTACCAATACAACCAATAAATGTATAAAAAAACTTTTTGTACAACTCCTATGAAAAAAACTGGTACGTAGTGGTATTTAATAGGTGAACAACAACGTCTAATTCACCGAAGATGTAAAAGGGCACACTCAACAATTTTAATTAAGTCTATAAGCGACAAGTTAAACAACTTAGTCACATACCAGTACGTTACATGTTTGTTGTTTGAAAATTGTTCTATAATTTTGCTAACTGAAAGTGAAAGGTCATCTAAACTTTTTAACCACTAAAATACACTTATTATTAATATATTTATGAATAGGAACATATAATGCTTTAATTTTTTGTGTTTTCAAGGGCTCCACTAAAAGATAAATTCATTGAGGATCTTCGAAGGGATCGCGATTTGTACAAAGGGCAAGAACTCAGAGAGGTTAGTGTATTGCTTACAAAAAAGAGTATTTTAATGGAAATACACAAACCAACAATACTGAATAGAACTCGTTTGTAGTTTTAAGTTATACAACAACTAGATGTTTACGTTAATCAAAAACCATTACTTTGAAGAACTAGGTCACCAAATATAACATAATTACAGGTCATAATATATTTTAATCGGCAACAAGATGCAAATTAACATCATTATATTTCATTCCCAATAATGAATGTAAGACCTCTTAAATTATAAATCAACCTATGTCTCTCTCAGGTAGAAAAACAATAAATGTCTGTGCATTTTCACCTTTTTATCAAATTCTTTAATATTCTCGTTGCTTCATCAAGCCTTGATCAGTAATAATTTAGCACTTCTTAACAGCACTTTAAAACGCTTCCTTTGATGTCTTAATGAAAAGAAATCTGCATAATAAACGTAGTTTTCACGATGGACGCCTATCTCTCATAAACATTAGGGAATAATTATGGACTTTAAATAAACCAATGAGTTTATAAGTCACAGCTAGATGATAGTGGCTTTACTACAAGATACTGATCATGAAAGTTTGGTTACTAGTAATTTTAAACTTCGAGATGATCAACATACTTTTATATCAATGAAAGAATTGGGAAAGTTATTCGATAATTCACTTTTAGTCCGAATCGTTTGTTGCAATGAGACAAACACAGGTTTTATGCGAAATTTGGCAAATTAAAAACTAAGTATTCCCAGTGTTCTTCAAGAAAGATATGATGGTTCATAAAGCGTACAAGTAAGTTGATCACATAAATAACACTGGCGTGTGAATTTAAAAGAATATTGCATCGAAAAATTATTTGAAGCGCAGGAAACAATTTGTATCATGCAAAGAAAAAATTGTTTTGTCTGAATTTGAGCGTAACATACTACTTACTTACGCCTGTTACCCCCGCCATGGAGCATAAGCCGCCGACCAGCGTTCTCCAACCCACTCTGTTTTGGACCTCCTTTTCTAGTTCTATCCAACTGTTGTTCATTCTTCTCAAGTTTGTCTCTATTTCTCGACGTAATGTGTTCTTTGGTCTCCCTCTTTTTCTTCGGCCTTGAGGTTTGTTCTCTCCTACAATAGGTTGCTGCTGATAATGTCTGGTCAACGAGTCTGAAGCATTTTGCGTAAACAACTATTAATAAACACTTGTATCTTCTGGATGATGGCTTTCGTAGTTCTCCAGGTTACCGCCCCATACAGTAGTACCGTCTTGACATTTGTATTGAAAATTCTGACTTTGGTGTTGGTTGACAGTTGTTTTAAGTTCTAGATGTTCTTCAGTTGTGGATATGCTGCTCTTATTTTGCCGATTCGCGCCTTCACATCTGCATCAGACCCACCGTGTTCATCAATGATGCTGCCCAGATATGTAAAGGTTTTTACATATTCCAAAACTTTCCCGTCAAGTGTGATTGTTGCATTATGTGTTGTATCGGAGAATCTTGCTTTTCCCTTTGTCTGTGTTGAGACGTAGTGCTACTGAGGCTGCTGCTACACTGGTTGTCGTTTCCTGCATTTGTTATTGCGTGTGCGATAGAACTGTCAGATCATTCTTGAAGTCTAGATCATCCAGCCCCATCTTAGATGTCCACTGTATCCTATGCTTCTCTCCAGATGTTGACGTCTTCATGATCCAGTCGATTACCTGAAACCGGTCTTTAATTCGAACGAGTCTGTGAGCTGTAATCCATGCACGATTTTCCATCATAGGAATTCCGTATGATACTGACTATTTTCTCAGGCACGCCATAGTGTCGAAGAAGCTTCCGTAGTGTTGTCCTGTTCACGCTATCAAATGCTTTCTCGTAGTCAATGAAGTTGATGTAGAGTGATGAATTCCGTTCAATTGACTGTTCCACAATGATCCACAGTGTTGCCAAATCCTCCTTTATCCGAGCTTGGGATCGGCAGTAGCCTAAAAGGGGCTTTAGGCGGAATTGTGCGTAACATTAGCCTAGATTAAAAAATTTTTCTGAACCATAATTTGGAAAATATCGTACTCATTGGCTATTAATCATTTAATAGCACAAAAGAATGATCAGGATTTTAGAGTATGAAAACGTGAAGATACATACCTGTGAGCAATAGGATTATTAAACCTTACAGTGACTCAAAAACTGATAAACTAATTTTTTATTATTCTGTTATCATTGTTATCAGTAAGGTACTGAAAAAGTGTCTTAAAATACAACAGAAATAGACAATACCCATCGTTCAATATACTACAAATAATAAATGTATAACATATACGCTCATCGCACAATGTAATTCACTAAGACTATGATTTGTACAGAAAAGGAAGATATGGATTAATAGGCGCTATACTATTAGGACATTTTAGTAAAATGTAGGCTGATTTCCCAAGCTGCAACAAATTATTCGTGTCTAGTATAGTGTGAGGAATTTATGCTAGTGAAGATTAAACAAATTAAAGGAGTCCATTATAGCTAATCAAATGAAAACAGATGATTATTGAGCCATAAATGAAATTTAACTGAGCTTACAGGTTCACTCAAGCCAGATGTATGAATGCAGCTGATTTGTATTTACAAGCCATTTTTCTGAAGTAACTTGACTACAGAAACAAAAATAAATAGACAATTATTACTAAAAATATTTAATATCCAATAAATGTGAGTGCATACATGACCAAAAAACTGAATTAATTTTCACTCAAATTTTAGTGTCAAATCATCCGTTACATTTTATTCTATTTTAAAATTTATATCCTCTAGTCATGTAGGAGAATTCATTGATTATATCACAGATATTTATAGTTTTATATTAAAGTCTAATGTGAGGTATAAAGTTACTATTGAACAATGGAAAAACATGAACTGCCTGACAGGTTTTCTCATGAGCTCTATAGTGACCGAACACCAAATAAATCTACTCATAATCTAAACGCTGTCACACTTCAATCACCCCGAAAGGCGGTAATATCTACCTCAAATAATGTGAATAAGGGATTCCAACATGGACTTTATCTCTTATTTATTTTCATTACTAACAAATAAAACACTAATAAACTAAATTCACTTGATGTTGTTTTATTTGCATCTTCCATTGTTATTAGGACTACAATTGATCAGTCTCTTGTTGACATATACGCATTCTGTGCGGATTGCCTTGGTATAGACTATATCGAGGCAATCTGCAAAAGAATGTGTGTGTCTGTCAATAATGTATTATTCAAAAGCTCTCTGATATTTATTCATCGATGGATCACTTAAAAACTGAAAGAATTCTGGCCTCGCGTTAAAATCCGGAAAATAAACACTGTCCACTTTTAGTATGTATCAAAGAGCCGACAGAATACAAACTTAATAAATTAGTGATTATTCCTATTATTATTCAAAGCCTTGTTTTTATAAACGGCTCCTAACTTTTCATGAATATTTTGGCAGTTTAGTTTATTTATGACTAACAATCTTAGTGTCTCAATCCACGTAGTTATTAGACAGATGACTGTGAAATCTATTAAATACCATTTATTCCCTTATGCAAAAACTTGAGTTTTACTCCAATGCTTTTACGCTTTATTATTTACACTGGTACTTTGGATGGCGTTCTGAAAACAACGTAACAGCAATTGAAAAAGTAATATAGCAAAATTAAATCAGCTCCAAGTCTCTGGTCACATCAGATTTATGGGTCAGACAATGTACTAACTTCGTATCTACGGGGATATTTGCTACTGTACATGACCACAGACAAAATAAAAGATTAAAAAAATGATGGATTTATATCATATTCGTTGTTTAATACAACTATGCAACTTTTATGTATATAGTCGAACTATCAATATTAGGACTACTTTGTACAGTAAATGGCAGTTGATTATGAATATCACAAACTTAGTAACTCTTACTCCAAATAAGTCATTTTTGCAGTGGTTACTTGGAACTATTGTTGCAAACGCAAAGAAAATCATAGATATTATAAGAAATGAAAATATCTAATACCGAAAATGTTTTGTATGATAAGCTAATAATCACATAATTATTTTACGTGAACAGCAATCAATCAGTATTAGATTAAGTTAATTAAATATATGCAGTCGATAAATCAGAATTCATGAAATTAGAACTGTGTGTTTGAAGGTAGTTGAAAATGCTGAAGAAACAAGTCAAAATTGGAGCTGGAAAGTTGCTAAGATTGCAACCCATTTAATTAGTGACCTAGAACTACAAACTATTCTAAATTTTCCTTTCTTTCTCTTTAGTTATAGTCGCTACGATACTGAATGAATTGATTTTGATATAGTCTAGATGTGTCTTGCTAAAGTGTCTAAAAAGATTAGTATGTATTTCATATCATATATGTATAAGGTACCATTTTAGTAGATTAAATCATATGTCTTTCTGTATGTCTCAGTATTCTAACCAAAATAATATTCAGTATTTAAGTACACCTAAATTTTTTTTCATGACTTTTCCATTCGACTTTGTTGAAAACCTACTGAAAGACAAAAAACGGTATGTCTGGTCAAGATTTTCTGTTACATTTTGTTCCCGAATATTAGATATATTCATCATATGGCTCCACTACATCGCTATCCAAAATCTGGAAGTTGACTACATTTTCTAGAAAGTAAAATATTTATTTCAAAAACATTTTAATTAATATCTGAATTCTTTCATTTTACAAAGAAGTTTATGGTATGAAAATAAATCCACGACAAACAGAATAGTTAGCTTGAAATAGTGAAAACTTGATCAGTTTGAATGATAATAGTGAATACAATAATGCAAAACTAACAAGAGCAGATGGATGTGAATAATAGTTATTAAAAAAACTATTTTCACATAAACTGACGATACTAAGGTAATAATAGGCAGTGTTTATTACATAAAACGTAATAATTTATCTATGAGCTTTCGAACGAAAGTAAATCTATAAAACGTCTGTTGACTTTCATAGTAGGCATGGGTTAGTACTGTGAAGTGAAAATTTAATAAACTTTATTCGAGAAGAATTTCTCATAAAATGAATGCTAAACGGAATAACTAATATAATCGCGATCTTACAAAGTCTCATCAACTGATATATCTTTAAGTTACTGGGGGACGTCATAATCGATTTTCTGAGATTATTATTCTAAATTTTATAATAACTTATAGTAATCAGAAGTATACACATGAATAATATCTGTCAAATTTCAATTCGTGAGTTTTTATCATTTGATCCTATTCAAATAGTTTTAAATGATCTCAGTAAATGGCATTGAATCTTTTTCCTCCGTTATGTTAACTACAACAAACAATTTTTAATTTACCTGTCTTTATTTCTTTCAGCGTCTTCGAGTAATGCGCCGTAGATTGGATTATCCAGGGATGCTTTCATCGGATGTTATTCTTAATCTGTTACTATCATACAGGCAGTGCGAGGTATAAAAATTTAGAAAAATAACCAACTTATATTAGAGAGAAAAACTAACCAGTTGGTTCGCTTACTAGTCATACAGTGTCAGATAAAACAGATAGTATGAGATTTAAAACATTTCTTTGAAATTTGTTTGTGAACGAACTAATAACATAATGTATTCAGCTAGCAAAATTGCAATTAATCTGAATTATAAGTGGTTAAAACACGTAATGAACCAGGCCTTAAACACAGTGTTTTCATTCGACTTAGTCTGTAATCTATCAACCACGTTTGGGAGATGTCTGATGAAGAAATGTAATTGACGTTCATATTGTTTCATCACATTGTCAAAATGGCAATATCTAATTCGCTGTAGAATCTCAGCAGCAATAGGTCACAGAAATGACATTTTTATTGATGTGCAATATAATTGTGTAATAATATCGTTTTAAAGAAATGTTCTTTTTCAGTAAGCGGTGATTTGTACTATTAAGTAATAACACAATGTTTGAAACGACATTTCAGTATTCATTTGATCCATATATTTTGAATTTTGACTAAGTAGATTCCAGAAAATAGAACTACTGGCCAACTGACTTAATATATTATTAAGGTATTAAGACATTCACTCATCCAAAGAGTTTAACCAAAGTAGTACAACTGAGTTACTTATCAAAAAGAAAATGATCATTTAGTGATGCATTAAAAGCATTAGATGATCTTAATCATATTCTCCCATCTTATCATCTATTTCATTTGGTTTCAGCAGTGTATTGTTGATGTGGCTAAAAGCTCTGATTTTTCTGATACACTCGTCATTCTAATTGTTGGTTGAAGATAAATTATTGTTTTATTTGATCACAGTTTGAGACAACAGTATTTTTTAAACTAGTGCCTAATTATATCTTAGTTTGTATTTTGGTGGTGAGTCACTAAAAAACACGTAGAACAGACCTACTAATCATTTCAGGTTTATTCTCAACTTAAGATTGAATGCTTTCTGTAAATATAGTTATCCAGTATGATAATCTTTTTATATACAAAAATATAAGTGAGAATTTTCGATGTATTTGTCTTATTTGAATACTGATTCCACCTACAAAAAAATTTGAATCGTGTCCAAGGTAAAAGAGTAAGAATGTAGCATCATTTCATTCGTTAAAGTCTTTATCGGATTTATCTTGTTCATTTTATAGTCTAAAATATTCTAGGTTTATTAAAAAAAAACCAAAAAGTTATTTCATGCTTTATCAATATGAAATACTGCCAAAAATGATGATCAACCTTTTTAAAACTATTTCATTCATTTAATTATCACATTTTTCTAAAAGTTAAATGTAACTTTTCTTCATTTTTTAGGATTTCGATGCTATGGTTACTTTAATAGAAGAGATAAGGGCTTTAAAATTAAATCAAGATATTTTGAATGTGTGCATGATCCAGTATCTATATGCTTTTGCTTTGCATAGACGGAATAAAAATGGTGATCGAGATGCTGCATTAGCTGTAACTGAAGAAGTAAGTCGCATTTTTGAAGATAATACAAATTTACTCTTTAATGTTGAAATGAAATTAAGAAATAATGAGCATACTTTATCTATGAACAATCCTAATTAAAGACATTTTTAATGATTCTAGGATTATTTTATATCGCAATATGGAATTGACAGAAATATACAGGGAAAAGACCTCTTTAAGAAGGATAACTGCATTGGTTTTAAGTCTAAATGAACAGCTATTGTACTTATTTTTAAAATGATTCTCAAAACAAAATATCGAGAGTGTAATATACAAACCTAGATCAAAAAAATTATCAATTAGTTTTTAAATCTTAAAGACTCTTAAATGAGGTGTCGCACTAACACCACATGATATTATATATATATATATATATATATATATATATATATATATATATATATATCAATGGATTATAGGATATGAAGAGAAAAAACATTTTAAGAAAATAAGCCCATAACCTAATAGTTATGAGGATCTGCCACAATAGTGTCTTCATACACACTTCAAAAAAGTGAGTTCAGAAAGACTTGTGAAAGATGAAGGTATATGCCGAATCCCACGGAAGGTGGACGCTTAATATTGTCGGCTGACTGAAGTTACACTTATACGTTATTGGATGCCAACTCACTGATCTGGAGCATCTGCTAGCGGGACTGAAGGTTCTGTGTTTGCCTACGACAGTGTAGTCCTAGGTGCTCACTGTTGAATACTTTCATATTGGGATGGAACGGTTATTCAGTCCTTCTAGGATTTGAATGGTTGACTAAGATCGGTTCGTAATCTTAATAAAACTGAACACTCTCCATGACTAACATTTTTTTATTCTTCCTAACAAGCCACAAATACTTTTATGCTTGGATTTTGATGCAGTCTCAACAGATATGTGATACTTTCATCTAATTAGTTCAGAAACTTGAAATCTATAATCAATAACATCTTAGACTAACAAAAGAAGAGTGTTTAGAAAAGTGTAAACACTTTAGATTTAAATGTTTTCCAATGAAATATGTCTAAATCTTCAAAATAATGTAGAATTATTTCTTTAAAAGATAACATTGACAAGATTTTCCGTAGAAATATTTATTTAAAGAACAATAAGTCTTTCAGAATTCACTTAGTTACAACGTACATACATAAACTGGTATGATAGATTCTCATAAATAACAAATTATGAGCATGTGATTTTAAAATTTTTCACTTCAAATTCTCCAAATGTTTTGTAAATGAAATTTATTCACCTAGACATTATGTAGTAATTGAAATATAACTAATAATAATACAATGGTAGCTCAATAAATTTTTTTGGAATACATTCATTGAAACATATTAAACAAGTTCAGTTAGGCTAAATGTTTGTTGGAGTTTTTAATATATATATATATATATATATATATATATATATATATATATATATATATATATATATATATATATAATGTTTATGTGAATGAATATGTAAATATTGATCAGTCGAACGCTGGAAATCTATCTGAAATATTCTAATCCAAAATTCATTAAATACTATATCGAATGGTAGATAAGCTGCTACCCGTAATTGAAGTCAGACAAACTCTTGTATGTTTGAAAATAACAACAATTATTGCTATGGCTTTTTTTTATCTTTTTTTTTGTCCTCTACACGTCTTTCATGTACACAATAATGTTATTAACAAAATATAGTTTTACTATTGGTTGTATACAGCAGTCACATATTGATTAGTTTAGTTTAGTTACAATAAGAGATAATGTAGTGTCAATATGTGACATCATTTTTTTAATTCTGAAGAAAAAATTATGTGAAAGTGTTGTTTTTTATTTCTTAACACCATTCGCAATAAAATAATTCTTCATTCAGATGTAATTTTAGAGATAACTAACATTGATGTTATTGTTGAATTCCAGTATTGTGTATTCTTTACCATTTTCTTTGTTGCAAAATTATCGATCAAATGAAGTAATTGTCTTCTGTTTACATGTGCTTATCTTCACAGGTGAAATCTGTATGTATAAACCAAATACCAATTAAGTGTTCTGGTTATTTTGTTTTGATATTAATCTTTCATAATGGTGGGTAGATTTTGTTTATTCCAAATGACACTTTTCACTTTCATTATCATCTAGATCTTGAAAACATGTGGAAAACCTTCTGCCGATATGTACGGTCTGTTTGGTCGTATTCAAAAAGATCGTTTTATGGATTCTCATGGTGAAGATAAAGAAGCTCTAGATTTAGCTATTCAAGGCTACCGAGAAGGCCTGAAGATTGATGCAAATGAATATCTATTAGTAAATGTTGCCACACTTTTAGTAATTAAAGGAATGGATCTGGAAACAAGTGCAGAGATGCGTAAAATTTGTAAGTTGATAAATATAAAATTTCTCAAGTTAATTTCTCAATTTCACAAAGCATATATTTTGAAGTGTTTAGTTATATACACTGAAGCTTATAATTCGGCAGTCAAAGTTTCTCATAATAAACTGGAGAAATTTCTATTTAAAACAAACATTTACTTATTGTATATTTTTTAAATGCCTTATAACCAGTTACTTAGGAAGATGTTAACTTACTGAATGTATGAGTAGTAGGAATTAAGGTATTATTTAAGCCTTTATAAACTATATACGATATGAGGAATCCCACAGTTTAATCCACGGTAAAATCTGCTGTAACAGTAAAATGTACTGACGTATATTACACAACCTACTGTTTTGCTATCACATGCCAATGTATAATCAATAAATACCAGCAAACATGGTTACGATGGATATAACTAACTGGTTTACTTATTGATGCTGTAACCTTGAAATTTAACAACACTTTAAGTATTGACTGATCTTTGACTAAGATTCAATTCAGATGTCATGTATAAACTTAAAATGAAACTTTAAAACAACAATCTAGTTATGTCATACAAAAGAATCAGTGTGATGTATGCTACTTATGTTGACAGACATAAGTAGTATGAAACATCATCAGAAATGCAATGCCTGGCAGCAGAATATTGAGAAGATAGAATTAAAAAGTACAGGAATGTAAGCAGAAAGTAATTTTAATAATAAGAGGATTGGAAGAATCATGAAGTGTGTAAAGGATATCTGAAATAAAGATGCGAAAATAGTGTATTTAATGTATAGTTTTCGAATTTACTCAAAACGCTTTGTAATTTTATACTGAATAATAAAAGGGTCTTTTCCGCTTGAGTTCTCGTTTACTGCAAGAGTACTAAAGAAAATAGTAGATATGACTAATTGAACTACCGGAATTTAAATTCTTTAATTACTTTTAGCCTTATAAAGTAGGCAGCAATAAGTTAGTTCCTCATTTTGAATTTGTTTTTGTTTACACTTTAAACAAAGATATAACTGAAATAAATTCCACATCACGGACGACCTAAAACTTTAAATGTTTAGGGGATTTGCATCTTCTAAATCAGCACAAATTTATCAGCTTTTAGTAATTTAGGAAAAAATAGTTGTTTATTTAAGTATAAATTACACGGAAAGGGTTAACACTAGGATTAGTGCAATAAAATCTTAACCACTTAAAACTTCGTGAAGTAATGCCAAGTCTACTGAAACCTAAATTCAATGTAAGCTAGCCACTTTCAGTAGTTCTAGAACTAGTCCAATCAAAAGATAGCTACTTATTTATTGAAACGTTTTTTTTTCTTACTATTTAGGTAATACACTGAATTTGCGTGTTGGCCAAAAAGGAAATATCTCCACAATCAATGACTATTGGGACGTTGCCACATTATTTGAGGTACGTGTAATAAGTGAAGACTATGCTGGTGCTGTTCAAGCTGTGGAACGAATGTATCTTTTAGATCCACCTGACTGGTATGTTTCATTAAATCAAATATTCCACCTAAAATATATCTTTATCATGTTTGCTACTTTCATTCAACGAAATAACTTGGAGAATGCGCAGAAAAAATTACTAATTCAATAAATGAAGATTTTGTATAAGTCGTTTATTGGTTCGGAATTCCACTTACTATCAGAATGAAAAACAACATAAAAATGTAGAATAGTTTGTCTTGTAAGATGTGAAGAGAGAAAAGTGAATAGCGAATCCAGTTTTGTCAGTGATGACCTGGAGATAAAGTTATCTATGGTCTCTAAATGTTCGATAACTATGGGTAATTTCCATATACACATATATACTACCTAACTTGCATAGTTTCATCACTTTCAATTTTCTTCATGAATAACATGTATAATTTGTGATACATGTACAACCAAACTACTAATATCAGTAGTAAAGTTAAACAATTACCGTGAAGCAATTAATGTCCTTCAATTGCCAACATTGACCACTGCTCAATGATCTATCAAGTGTAAAACTTTGAGTCCTACAGAAGGTTTATTAGCAGTCGAATAGCTTAGTGATGGCATTTGAGACGGTCAATCCAAGTGGGACCATCAGTTATTTCACGATATCAGGTATACTTCAATGACAAGTGCCAAATACCAGGTTCAAAGTTTCCTGTTGACTACCTACAATCATGTAGTACTAAGTTATTTGATTGTCCTAGATATAATTTTGTTATATTCTCAAACATTTATTTTTACCTTTCAAATCGTTTGCGAAATCACATGAAAACATTTTTAGATTTATTTATTAGGCTTTTAATAATCGCTTCATAAACATATTTGTACAGATGTATATATGCGCATCAAAAATTGATTGATTTCAAATATCATAAATTTTGACTATAAAAACATTTTTCTGATTCACATATACTGTACCATAAACAAAATATGGCAGTTGACACAATTGCACAATTTTATATACATAAGTATAAATAATGTAGAAATGCATTGTAAACCTCGGGAACAAAAAACAGCTTGTATTGGATATTGTTAGGAAGTTTCTAATCTTTAGGCTGAGGCATTGATCTTTGGAAGAAGGTACGCTATTCTACTAAATAATGGATGTGTAATGGATAACATTTATCTAAATATTCAGTCATTACCTGTTTAGAGTAATTGAGTAATTTGATCAATAATATTTCCGAGAACTCAGTATGAACTTAAATGCATTGATGAGATCAAGAGTAATTTGGTATTTTGATTAATACGATTGTGAATGTTTGTTTCTTCCACTTGATAACGTAATTATAAATTTGATCATCTTAATAATATCCATCTGGTTCACCGATTATTTTGCATGTTCTCAATTCACAGAAGCAGTTGTGTTATTTGGATTCCTAGAAATCGAAAAAAACTTAACTATGGTCCACGCTACTACTATATAAATGAAACAGTTAAAAAATACTTGTCAATAAATGTTGTATTATTAGCAGTCCTGAAAATCATTTGGCAGATTAAAGCAAGCAACATATATAAATTGGAATCTACTCTGTTTCACAAGCTAACGGTTATTTGCGCTCAGTATCTAAGTTGATAAGCCGATGGCGTTTGAAGCAAACTGGAGTGGCTGCGAATTCCAGCGTGAACATTCACTCATGAATGCAGGAACATTCAGACGATAAGTTCGAAGTAGCATAAAATGCGCGTCCCATATTCTTCTCCAAGTCACTATTCATCTCTGCCTAAAGTTGTGTATGATGATAAAGATATACATCGTGTACGGAAGTGTTTGTTGGCGTTTTTTCTAAGCTAGGCAGTTTAACAATGATTTTAAAAAGCAAAACCGTGAAGTTTTCCATATTTTTTTGCACTTAGCTCATCTACCTCAGTGAACAGCCAAAATCGTAATTTACTTCATACCATTTCAAAAAAAAATGTGAAGTGGTAAATTACACGCAAACTAACATTTTATATCAAATGTTTGTAATAGTTTCAAGAAATATTACACAACACTACAAATTTACTTATCTCTAGGTTTTTTAATTATCTTTTATAATGTCATGATTATTCCAATGTGATATTCATGTTGTCAAATTATATGAAAGAACTGTTTCATCTAGCACAAGAATATCTAAAATGGTATAATTATATCGATGATTCAAAGACTATTCATAAAGATTTATTTAAATATAATGAACGATATTTTATAAAGGTCTCTGTCTAGCTTTCTGAGTATCTGTAGTTTAACAAATAAAGATAGTCTCATGATATTAGAACTTTGTAAATCATTTGATAAATCATCCTTGTACTTCACTCAGGTAATAAGATTTTTTATTTCGATCACAGATACTTATTGACTCTAAAATATTTTGATTTCTCTTTTAATTGGTTTAATTTTTTATAAATTGACCAGTTAATTAAGCTAAGTTGTCTACATACAAAATATCATACTGAAGAAACATCGAATATTTAATGACTGTTCAGCTAACTAATGAAATATTCGGTAAAACATGGTCGATGTTACAAATGAATACTACAGAAAAGGTTCATTAATCTATCCTATGTTCTTACAAATAACTATTCGTTTTCTCAAAGGTTATTTGTAAAACTAAACGACGTGATTAGAATAATAAGAAAATGGACATAATATGTTTTATTTATTTAAATAGTAAATAATGTAAGCAAATTGAAATACAATGTTTTGTTTAACTCAAACCACCTTTATATTTATTGGAATTATGTAACTCTTTAACCAGATTAATTAATTTCCTCTGACGACTAACAGTTACTATCTGTTCATTAATTTTCTTGATTTTAAAACTTTTCTATAATATAAGGACATTCTACGTTTACGATATTTAGATGCTATTTTCGTCTTTATTTCTAATTATTTTGATTCATATTTTTACCTAAATGTAACATATTTTGTTCAAAGTTAAGTAACTTCATTATTGAAGGGTTCATATGAATAATTTAATTTTCATATTTATAATGTGGATTCAACATGTAAAATAAAGTATACACTTTATTTAACAGTTTTTTTTTCTTTTTCTATTTTCTCACTTCTTAAAATCGTTTATAGGGAATTGGAATCTACATTGGGTAACATAAAAATGATCTGCAAATTTCGTAAACCACCAGAAGAGAGCAAAATTGCCAAACCACAAAAAGTAAATAAAAAAATCTTTTTACAGTTTTCTTTTTCAAATAGACACAGAATTTTGGTGTGAAAGAAACAACAATCATGGATTATTTAATTTTAATTCATTCTGAGTAAAATACTTAAAGAATTTATTATTTCATAACTTACTAAAAACTCTAGAATACAATTATTTCACTCAACTTAAGGTTTGTATTTACAAGTGCAGTTATTATTTACAAACCACAGTCAATTATTATAACATGTCATACTATAACTGTCTATTAGATAGCTATACCATTCTCAAAAAAGAACTCAGCTATCCCTCCAATTAAATGTCAGTTACCGATAGGCATTTTAGATTGATCATGTAACATAGCTTCAAGTAATATACCTAATAAAAACAAGGTTTAAACACTGATGGATAAAGATTAAAAGTGTATAACAAACATTTAAAAAATTACTCTTCCATTTTTGAGGACTTTTTTTTAATATTTCTGTGTTTCATTAAACTATTTAGCTAAATTATACTGGCTGTTTATCTTCTATATAATTTAACCTATAAGTAATCTCCAATATCATATTAATAAAATTCCCCATCTTGGAAAATGCTATATCCACGTAGAGACTACTAAAATAGTATTTAAAATGACTTAAATAAATATCACTTTTTTATCTGGTTAAGATCAAAGCTAATTGATGTGTCCTGTACATAGAGAATAAAATTGAATACTTTAAATTTTAATCTCAATATACTTTTACATATTTACCAGGCTTATTTGTGCAATTAAATTAGTGTTACGGATTCATAAAACTCGTTTATTTTGTGCATTAATATTTTAATATTATTAATATATGTACGACTGAACTCGACACAAAATAAGCTATTGTATTACAAATAACCAACTTTAATACATGGATTGGAAGATTTTTGAAAGCTTGAAAGTTACCTGTTTCCATAGTAATAAGTAATGAACACGAATTACTAAATTACGTGATAATGGAAATTTACAGTTACTTTATTTGGTAAACAGTTTGACTTATCAAATGAGTATAGAACTGTATGGAAGATAATCATGTCACAGTAAATTAAAGACGTAGTGAGTTTTAAAAGAACTGAACTTCTAATTTTTATTGAGTCGTTCATTTTTTACACGTTCTTGAGAAAATAACTCAAACTAGTGCTTGACGGTATTCAGCAGAAATAGGAACGCAGAAAAAATTAAGAAATCTTATTTGAAAATAATCTTATATTGTAAGTAACTACATTCCAACTGAAAATTCCTTAAAAGATAACTAATTGCATTAACAGAATTTTTTTCATTTATTGCTAACTAAAATGGCAGTGATCAAATTTATTCAGATGGAAACAGTCTTTTATTCTTTAAATCGTGATCACTTGATGTTCATTTAGTTTTTATATAATTAATTATACAACCCTTAAAAACGAGATTAAAATTGCTCAGAGACTTTGTAAATGATCCTTATAAAAGGGAACAATGTGATTGTAATACTTCACTCAACTGTCAAGGAATAGTGACAACAGTACCTTATTTATTAGTTGTAAGGTTTTCTTCCAATAACATAGCTCTCTTATTTCCTTTGATAAATTTAAATAAAGCGAGAAGAACAAAAGTTCCACTTTTTTATGTCGCTTCAAAATAAACTTCATTGATTATGGTCTGCAATAAAAAATTTTTCCAAATCTTATTTTAATCACTTTATTTAGATAAATCTCTCATTTCGTACGAAAAGCCTTAACTCACTATATTCTTCATACGATTTCCCATCGTATTTGGATTTTTAAATCGACTTTAATTTATGAGACGACTACTTTTACATTATGATGAATAATCGAGAAAATTAAGCCAATATGCTCTTGCTACCTAAGTCGTATTGCAACATTCTAATTTTAAATAGAAACATTACTGATGACGTTTATGTGATAGTTTGCAAATCATAAACAACAAACAATAAGTTACTGTAAACCAGTGGTTTGAAGCATGAATAGACTTTAGCTAGAAAGTAAATGAATATTTAGATGTATTGTTTCGTTTATGCCATTGTAAGTCTTAACAGCACCACCCACGACCAAAACAACTAAATCACGTTTTCAACTACCTAGTTTTCAATGCATGTTTGCCCAAAGTCCACAGTGACTTAAGTGATATGCAGACGGAATAATATCCCCAAACATTCCATATAAATAACTGTATTTTATCAATTCTAAAAGTACTTATCTCTGTCATGAAGTCTACCATTAAAATATATGGATCATCTAGAAAAAGGAAATTCATGTAAACACCTAGTGGATACACTACGACATATGGTCAGAATTACTGTTTTTTACGACGTATATCCGTTTATTTTACACTACTTCTGTGTCTTTTCGTTACGTAATTGTGGATTGTTATCAACACATTTACTACAGAAATACTTAAATGTCAGAAACCTTATCAAAATCGATAGTATTCGGTTTATAACTGCTAATAAGTCTAAAGAAAAATGAATGAAATTGAATGTTTAAGTAAAATGTATTCTAGACGTAATTAATTACTGTTCCTACTGATAAATAGTGAAAAAGTCTACATATATATTGTTTGCCTATTTAAACATAAATGACACAGATATTACATAAATTTGCTTGCATATCTTTGTCCAACTTTCAAATTAGTTTACAATTATTTTATCGTAAATTACAAAGTTCTTTCTCACATACTAACACCATAAATAAATTACCGATTAAAAGAATAAAGATATTTCTATCTAATTATTTGGCATAATAAACCACATAGTTTATGTATATTTGATAAATAATTAATAATTAGACAAATCAGAAATAATACTTTTAATTAATGAATAAAACTAATATATTTGTAATATCCTAATGAGTAGAAAAGTTAAGTTGAGTTTTCTACTCATTGGGATATTACAAATATATTACTTTTTATTTATAACAATCTACTCAATCCTCAACTTATTTGAAATTATCAGGCTAAACCTTGGTAATCATATCTATTTCTAAGTAATGAAATAAATTATATTATCGAACAAAACATAAATAGTTTATCACAGATAATTGTGTTTGGTGACAATAATAAGACTTCATATCAAAATAGAAAAACAAGTCTGTTTCTACACATATATGTCTACTATTAAATGAATGTAATCAATACTATCATATCTATCTACACAGTAAACTTATTTGAAATAAATGTTTAGATATTATGTTTACAAGTAGCAGTCAGTAGTATCATTTTCATTACAAATTAATTAATGTTATGAATTAATTATTTAAGAAATAAGCTTTAAAAATGATGTATTTGCCAGACATCTTTCATAATGCTACTTAATGCTTTCAAATAATGTGCTTTTTACAATGGGTAATTATATATTTTAGTTTGTAGAGATCATAATGTGGTGCTTTAAAAATATTTCATTCAGTTTTTACCTTATGTGTTTGCATATATTTTACCTTTATAAAGTTATCATTGTACTAATTTTTATGCAAATTCCAAATAACACAACACTGCCGTTCAACATAATAAATATCTCATCAATAACATTGTGTAACAATTTAAATTTTAAAATATATTCAGTTAACTTCTGTTTCAACATATTCAGATAAATCCTGGTTCTATAAACAAACTCATTTCCCCTAAAGAAACCAAACCACACAGCGATGATTATATATTCAAACATGTTAAATTATTTTGTTGAATGTCTTAGACAGTGTTGTCAACTGATTATGATTTGATTCTGCAATATTACTAAACCAGGAAGGCTTTATGCTAGTAAAATCATATACATGTGTACTGTATTTAAACTAAAGGGTTTGATTTAAAACTGTTCACTCAAATAATTCTTATATATTTCTTCAACCAGATACTGAATCTTTAGGTAAAAAGGATAAAACCAAGTTATCTTTGATGAGTTTACCCACTCAACTTTAATGCATTTGAAAAAGACTTTATTCGATATCATAATGACTATCTGTTAATTGGTCTAACACACAAGTCAAGAAATTCTTCATCTTAAAGCCACACATTTCATATAAGCAAAAAACATGATCTTTTTTTCTTGAAGATAGAAAAACAGAATGAAAAGAATAATAACCAACTTGTTGATACTTTATCAACTGGACTGACATTTTGTTAAATGTTGTAAGATGCTGATGAAACCTACCTCACTGAGTAAAATAAGCAGTTTGGGAAATCAAGTGGACAGAAATACAACATTCAAGGAATTGTGTATTCAATGAGTAGAATTTAAACGAAAAGTTTGGTAGATTATAGACAAGAACTGATTATAAGTAGCGAGTGAAATAACTCATTCCAGCAGTCACTAGTATTATCAACCAGTAGCACGTCACGGTTTAGTTGCTTTTTAAGATAGCAGCCCCAAGTGACTATTTAGCTTATCATTAGACCGAGATGCGAAAAAGCTTTTAGTACATCCTAGTAAACAAGTTATTCAACCAAGAAAATTAAGATTTTTCATAAAAGCTCCGATTCGTTAAAATCCTCATTATCAATATTGTGTAAATAAAAAAAATTCCTTTAACCCATACTGATGATATTCATAAACTTATAAATTCAATAATATTAGAAATACTTCACTAAAGACTTAACCAAGGTTTCCAAAATTTCAAATGTTAAGTTGCTGCGAATAATATAACTTAGCATAATGACGAATTTTCCTCTGGTGACATCGTTAGAAATAGGTAACACCGCTGCATCTTTATCTGTGATAGAAAAAAAGGAAATAGATTAATTATCATTTCGTCTTCATGATTTTATGTGCTCGCTACACACGTTAATTTTAATTATCTCTTCATATTCCGTTCACTTTATAGTTATTTGACTTTTGGATGGAGTTTCTATCTACTGTGTGTGATACTGATGAGAGCGATTCATTTTTAATTGCATCGGGTAAGTTAATGTTGGAAATTTAACAGAATAATTATACCAAAAAATAAGAATATTGATTCAGCGTTATATCTGGGGGGCCTTTCTTTTATGTTTGACATGTTCTCGCTTCTATGTCTGTATCGATTCTGTTAGGTTCTCAGTCTTTCTGCTTATACGCAACGATCGGGAACCACTGCAGTTCTTCAATCCTACTGCTTATACTTTGAAACGGTAACCTCTGAAATTCCTATGATGCAAACTAAGAACACGAAAAAATGGAGCAATTAAGATTTGTCGACACCGCAAGAACACGTCCCTAACTAAGTTCCGAAATCCACATACAAAATCACAACATTACACATACTTAGAAACATCACATATTTGCGAAAATACTCTCAGTTAATGTTAAAACACACAGTGAACACAGTTAATCTGAATTGATACCGAGAATACGATTGTAATACTACATGGAAGTTTACACTTGTCATATTGTACGACGTTTATACTGTATTGATGCAAAAAAACTTATTGACCTAAATACTGTCGTTTCATCTTGTCATATCAAGGAAGAACATTATTTTACTAGAAATTCAAAGGTTTGGTCTAGCCAGACCACACTATTTTCATAGTGCTGAGTGCTTACATATTTACTTAATCCTGTTACCCCTCGTGGAGAAGCATGGGCTGCCCACCAGCACTCGCCATCCAAACCCGTCCTGCACAATCCTTTCTAGTTGCTATTTATCCTTTTGCTACCTGCTTCCAATTGCCGACGCAGTGTGTATTTTGGCCTTCTTCTTTTTCATTTCCCTTCCGGATTCCAAGTTAGCGCTTGCCTCGTGATGCAGTTTGATGATTTTCGTAATGTATGTCCTATCCACTTCCAACATTTTCAGTCATTCTACAAGTTTTAAATCAAATTATCCTCATAAACTGGTCCATGATTGGTTGTCTTTATTCGTCCTTGAATTCTTGCTGACAGACTCGTCCAGTTGACCTCCATCTATGTGACTGATTGACCACTTAGATATGTGTTAGTAATTTGAATCTGTGTCGATGTTTCTATTTATTGAAGATTCATCTAAACGATATTTTTCTAGTAATTCGCTGATATTGGTGGTATTTTCGGATCTATTGTAATCCAATTAAAATAATATAAACGACAATATCATATCGCTTCACTGCTATTCTATGTTGACGTATGCATAGGTGAAGGAAGCGTTCACTATGTTTAAATAATGTCAGTCAGTCAGTAACAACGTAGAACTTCGTACGTACGTACATCAGTTCAAGTTGCCATACCACATTAGAACAGAGATGCAGTTGTTAATTCAAATCCCGTAGTGGTAGAGGTAGTAAAAGTATAAGCGGTAATTTGAAAGATTATGGTTTGAAGATGTTATTCAGAGATTATAATACAGTGAAATTAATTTGGAAAGAGCAAAAACGGACATGAAAAATTCAGAAGATTAAAATTTGGTAGGACACAAAGTGTGAATGCACCTGCGCCATTACCAAGGATTTTGAGCTATGTCATTCAAGGTATCTAACCAGTGGTTGCTATCATCTCACGGATCCCAACCAGGAAGTCTACACCTACCAACATGTCCCAGTCCACTTGTCAGTGACTTCACGGATTCGCGCCATGTTTCACTGCCATAAAGTAGGACGGAACGAACTGCTGCTCAGTGAACCCCTCCTTTGGTTGGTAGACGGATATCTTGCCTACGCGATAAATGACGGAAGTTGGCGAAAGGTAGTCGAGCCCTCTGTATCCGTGCCGAGATTTCGTCACACACCAGACCACAAGGGCTGATGAGACTTCCAAGATAAGTAAAGTGATCGACACGCTCAACTACTTCACCCCCTATCATTTGTTCGGATGTCGGTGCAACTTAATCCTAAAGTACCATTTTGCATTTCGAGGGGAGAACCGCATGCCGAACATGTTTGCATTGTTGCTTAGAGTGGTCATAAGACTCTGCATTTTGTCAGCGCCTTCACCAAATAGAACTGTGTCATCGGCATATTCCAAGTCAACAAGTGAGTCTCCTGGTAGAAGTTCAACGCCTGGAAATTTAGATGAGGAGAGTGTTATCTCTTGAAGCACGTCAACGACGAAGTTCAGCAAGAATGGAGAGTGGGCAGCCCTGACGAACGCCACTTGAGGAAATCAATTCTGATGACAGTTCGCCATAATCTCTGAATGATGTTTCTCCCGGCTGATGCAATTTGCTTTGTAGATAATGTTGCATCTGTTTATTTTTGCTATTGTCTCATTCTGTCTGCATAAAATGTGATAAAATTATGGAGTTGGTTTATGAACGATATTAATTTTCAATAGTTTCAGACCCTATTTGATTGTGCTTGAGATGTTTTTCTTATGTGGAAGAACGATCTGTTTCTTGGTTCTCGGAGTTGATCTTTTGATGACATGTGGATCCGCAGACACTTTTGATTACGTTCCCGGGGTAGCCGTTCCACGGGTGATAGGTAATGAGTTCATCTTGTTTTCCGTGTAGTGATAGATCCTCAGCGAGTTCGACTCTTCTACAAAATTATTCTGGACAGGTCTTCCTTCGATCTATTAGACTGTTACTATTACAGTTTGTTATTTGGCCTGTGTGACTTGGCTTCCTATATGCTTGCGTTTCCAAAGTCGCTATGTCTGCTATGTTGAAAAGAATTTAACGATAGGGTTGTTTTCTGATTCTTATTTTCCTGTAAATTTGATCGCGTTAACAAGGTTATTATTCATCTTATGAGTATTTTTGAGTTCACTGCTCTCTAAAATAACATGGCGTTTACATAACATATCCAAGACCTTGGTCCAGTTCCTGAATCTATGCATCTCGGCTGCACCGATTATTCCTGATACAGCTGGTCTCATTGTAGTTCTTTCTATCTGTTTAAAAGTTTGACTGTCGACTTGAAAATATGTTGTAAGACATAGATCTGCGGGTTTTGTCAAACACAATAATTGTGTTTTTGAGTGTTCTATTGGGTTCCAATCCTTATTGAGTTGCTAAAATAAGGTATCTTCGTAAAATTTGATTTCTGATGAAGTGAGTAGAGTCATGAGATCGAAATACATCATTATTTAGTATTTCCTTGGCTGTAAGTTTATGGTTTTGAAAATATCTAAATCAATCGCATGAGCTGAAAATATTTTCCACCATTTCAATAATATTTAGTGGGTGTCACAATGTAAGAAATGATCCCGATAACAGACAACGATGTTTCAAACATTTTGAAAACTTCTTTAGAATAGTTTGGAAGCACGCCTTATTTCGTTTTAAAGATATTCATTTAAAGGCAGAAACTGTTAGAAATCTGAGTGCTCGCAGTCTTCTGACCATAATGTATCAAATGGATTATAAGATTGAAGTATTATTGTATTTGAGTGAGTTGAAATTTTCAACAAAAGAACGTAAATTATTGTCAGTAAACTAATTCAAAATATCACCTTTTTGCTTATATACCAACTCAATAACTCCCAGTAACGTAAATCTATTACAAACAAATATATAATTTTCGCAGTTTGAGTCGAAAAATAACTTTATCTATACATCTATCTTAAACTTGGAGTCACTTAAAGGTCGTTTCGTTCCGCCATGGGACTCCTCAGTAGCGTGCACTCACCATCGCTCGTACTGGAATTGAACGCAGAACCTTCAGTTCCGCCCACGAAACCCTAACCTCTAGACCAGTGAGCTGCTATCCGAAGGTGTTAATTTCTAACTCCAACTAATTCACGATTTTGTGCAATCCTCATTCATTGCCTCCAGTGTTAACTGGCTCAAATCCGACACAAATTGGACTCCAATGGTCACGGCTTTTCACTAGAACTCCAGTAGTCATGTCTTCAAAGTAGTTACTAATGAGTACATGATTATTACCAGTATGGGGGATTTGTGGAGTCTGTGAACTTTTGACAGTTTAAAGCACAAACTGTTCTTAGCCAGACCACCATTGAAAACCCATCCTGGGCAACAGTGACCATCTAGTTTTTCCGGGTTTTAAACGATGATTTAGCTATTGTCAATACATAATTTAAACCACGAAAAAACTGCAGTCTCCACAAACTCATGATGGTATATATATATATATATATATATATATATATATATATATATATATCATTACCTTTTTTCACCTTTCTAGTCCTTAAAAGACAACTGATTACAAATTACTTTCAGGAGTAAAATAGCTTCTTGTCATGATCTGATCTGCTAATCTTAAGGGTTACTGACTCTCATATCGATCATTTGAAATAAAAAGACCATTAACAGTAAATTCATAATATAGATCAATTTTTAAACGTTTACTAAAAATGATCAATACACTAACTGATAGTCATTAAAGATGTTTAGTTTACAGGATATCTGTACAAACGATTTACCTTTAAAATGACAACGCATATATCCATCACCTTAAATATCTTATTTCCATCCAATAAATAAAAGTGTGAAAATTCCCATTTTGCCATTTGGTAATTAAAGAAGGAACGAATTGAGTGAAGAAACTTCTTTTCAATTAGGTTTTCATCATGGCTCTACACTAATATATATATATATATATATATATATATATATATATATATATATATATATATATATATATATATATATATATATGATTTACAATAATAATATAATACTCATCGAGTGGATACGTTACGTAATAATTACATAATGACATTTAAATTAACATTGAGTAGTTTGAAGAAAGAGGATTATTAATATTCAAAGTAATTTTTAAATCAAGAAGTTGCTATGTTGCGTAATATATGAAAACAGAAGGAACAGAATTTTTTAATGGATGGTCAATAGAATAGTAGTTACGTAAGAATCAAGAGATGAATGTTGAGAAGTTATAAGGCTCAAAAGCGATAGAAACAAAATTACAAAAATTTTAAAATTAAAATAAAAAGTGGAAGAAGCATGAAAAATAGTTCTTCTGACGGAAATGTTATACTGAAGGCCAGAGTAGAGAAAGTGGTTGTACGAATTTCTTTTGGATGCAAAGGTCAGGTTTGTGAACATGGATTGCGATGGCTTCCGCAATGTGCAAGAGGCGCACTCGTAAACCATGTGGTAGATTTGATGGGAAATTGTAGATAACCTTAAAGGCTTTATTCAATCCAACTTGATGATCTGTGTCAACCAAGTGAGAGAGAACAGAACTTTTAATCACTTTTACCTGTCCCTTGCTTAACCATGACGGATGATGTTCTGTAATACGATGACGGACTTGCCGAATTGTGTTACAGATATACACGAGGTTTTAGCGATGAAATTAGGCAATGTCAGCTACGTGAATTCGTTTCGTATTTACGTAAGACCCCTACGTTTTTAGATCAAATTAAAATGTCATAGCTTATTGCTTGTAGTATATAATAAACGTTTTGCAAAACAAACACATTTCATTTCTTCAATATTTGTTTTTTAGATGAAACAGAATATGACTCATTCATTAGACCATATGAAAGTTATACCAAACGAATAGTATATCCAGTCTTAGTAACTGAACAAAATTGTACCGTTATGAAACCAGCTAATATTCAAGTGAATATAAATGCTGTTCCAAGAAATCTCCGCGTTATCTTCTACGATCTAGACTATACAATATCTACAACCGTGCAATCAGTCGATTTACAAAATTGTGGAACTATGCGTCAACATTTTCCACGTTTCAATGAACATAGTCAAGAAGAAGATTTAATATTTAATGCCGAAGATATTATCGGTATAAGGTAAATCGAAATTCAATATATTATTCATTTGATTTATACATACTGGATTAATTTGTCAATTAATTTGTTTATGAAGTAGGTAAAGTGTTATCTCTATTCAACGATCTAATTTGAAATCTCTCTTATAAAAAAAAATTAACATTTATCAATTAAGACAATAAATGTAACCAATAATTGCTTGTAATTGGACAAGCAGTTATGAAGTATATTTTATGATATGTTAATGTAGGGCATATCCAAAGAAGGTAGTTAAAATTAAAAAGATTACAAATATTTCGTAGAAAGATCCTTAGTTTTTCAGTGATTATCACACCAGTAATAGAGTGTTTTAAAATTCCAAACACCTTGGATATGATATTTGGTTAGATTAGTAAAATATATAATGTTCCATTCATTCTTTATTCAGTCATTAGTATATAATTCATAATACACCATTACATAAATAACAATAGGTTTCTTTAATAAAAAAGCAAGTCTTTTTTGTCATAAGCCTTTGAATATAAATTAATAAATATATCAGATAATTCTATTGCTATACATCTTCAAATTAACTCCAAACTATTTGGATGTCATCTATACTTTGTTTTACTACTTAAAAACTTCTGAATTTCTCTCAATTTCAGACATAATAATTATTAGATTTATTATTCTTTTTTAGCATGACAGAAAATAATAGTCGTAGTGTTTATTTATACACTACCTGTTCTTTACCAAACTACCGCATATCATTTTCCTGTGAAAAAGTTAAAATGCAGTAAGTATTAATTATTGATCTTACCTTAATTACTTTAACTGAAAAAAAAATTTTTTTTAATTCCCTGACTTTCCATTCTGTGAACCATTAATTTGATATGTAGCTATACAGACGCTAATATGACGACAAACAAATGAAGCAATGTACAAGCGCTTAAACAATTGCTCTTGGATTCAAACAATGTCGAAACATGATTCATTAAGTTTAAATGTAGTAAACTGAATGTTTAAATCGCACTTATTTACACCGAACGATTATGAAATCAATAATCTCCGTAAGCTTTAAGGACTCTACTAACTATATAATACAAACACATGAAAATGTTATGATTTCATTGCATATTTGAGCTCGACAACCTTTCAGTTAACTGACTGATAAAATCACTCGATTATATTAGGATTATAAAAATGATGATTAATATTTTGATAAGTATTTCGTTATGGAGATTGATGAAAATCAGTTAGAAAGAGGAAATATTATTGTACTTGTTAAACATGAATTACACAACCGAGCTATTTTGAGTTGTTAGTCATCTTAGCCAATTTATTGATTGCTTATGATTTCCACATTAAAGCTGATGTCAGTTTGCGATGAAAACCCTTACTATAACACCCTAATCTTCTAACACTAACACTTAACCATGTTTTAATATATGCGTCATAACCTTTCTCGTTCTGAATTGCTTCACTGTATACTTTAGGTTAATTTTGTATTTTATTTGTATATCCTTTGACTTAGAAATAGTCATAAGCTGTATTGACTTCCAAAATTCTAGAGTTTTATGGGATATCGTGAGCAGTGTACTAGTGGTATCAGTTAAAATGCCAAAGATTACAAATCTTATCAGTGCTGATCCATTTAATGATATATATTTTTGTAAAAAAACTTACCTAGGTAATCTATCTAAATCGTTGGGTTAAACATGTTCAATGCCATACATTAATCCAATAGTGCTCACAACAAACATCACATTTTTTCAAACACATTTGCATCCCCACTAACGGACAAAAACATCTTTTGGAGAATAACCTTCGACTTAAATATCCTAATCACAGATGTTTGCTTGACCTTCTTTGTTCCATATATTATTTAAGCTAACATTGACTTTAAAAAGGTGGTTCTTTATAAAAACGACTTTCAGTGAGTCGTTAAACATCAGAAATTCAACTTCCTTTGCATTCAGATACTACAAAAACATGTTATTATTTTCATCATTATAACCTGTCCATCTAGTAATCCGCTTAATAGAACTTAATAATTTCATTCATTCTTTTGTTTGCAAAATTTAAATAAACCAGTAATGACAAGATTTGCAGCATAAAATCCATTTATTCTATTTTATAACTTTTCATCTTATGTTATTAAAAAAGAATTTTCCATATCTTAGTCCGTGCAGTTTATCTCGAAATAACACAGAAAAATATTAGAAACAGGAAAAAGACAAAACATTATTGTAAGCAATGACTAGTACTTGAATGTTCAAAATGAAATCATATAAAGTAATGTCGGGAATAATAATGAAAGAACAAAAGGAAAGACATTTTTTTAATAAATGAGTGATTATGTAATGAGGCCATCTTGTTATTATATATGAAATTAAATTAATCCATACAAGTGAATCTCAGTGCAATGGTAAAAATGTATAGAATGAAATAAAGAGATCATCTAATTGACCTTTACATCACTATAAACATTGAACCATAGCAATGTGGGGTTTACTATATTGTCTTTCTGTATACAAAAGTCAAGTTGAGAAGGCTTGACAGCAGTGACAAAGAGAGTAGATGAGGCGTTCATAACTTGTTGGTTATTTTTTTATGTTCTCAATACGTTAACTGCCCATTAGGTCCCGGGTAATCGCATTAGTAAAAACTTCCTTTAAAACTCAGTTGTGAATGGATATGGATATGTGAATGCCTTTCTTTTAGTCCTTCCTATAAACTTGGCATCATAAGTACACGTAAATTCAAAGACATATTTGAAGATAATCTCAGAAACATATTGAACATTTTTCTGATTGGTTTAAAAAACACTTGCTATTGGATTGATTAAACGTCCTATTCTCTCTCACTTGGTTGACACAGGTCATCAAGTCGAAGTGAATAAAGCTTTTAAGGTTATCTACAATATTCCATCAAATCTACCACATGGTTTACGAGTGCGCCTCTTGCACATTGCGGAAGCCATCGCAATCCATGTTCACAAACCTGACCATTGCATCCAAAAGAAATTCGTACAACCACTTTCTCTACCCTGGCCTTCAGTATAACATTTCCGTCAGAAGAACTATTTTTCATGCTTCTTCCACTTTTTATTTTAATTTTAAAATTTTTGTAATTTTGTTTCTATCGCTTTTGAGCCTTATAACTTCTCAACATTCATCTCTTGATTCTTACGTAACTACTATTCTATTGACCATCCATTAAAAAATTCTGTTCCTTCTGTTTTCATATATTACGCAACATAGCAACTTCTTGATTTAAAAATTACTTTGAATATTAATAATCCTCTTTCTTCAAACTACTCAATGTTAATTTAAATGTCATTATGTAATTATTACGTAACGTATCCACTCGATGAGTATTATATTATTATTGTAAAACGTATATATATTAGTGTAGAGCCATGATGAAAACCTAATTGAAAAGAAATTTCTTCACTCAATTCGTTCCTTCTTTATTTACTAAAAGAAAGTTGGGCTATAAAGAGGTTCCTTAATAGCATTGTCTTAATACAGATGCAAATAGATTTTCCAAGAATTAGATTATTGGGTCATTTTGCAAGCACTTTTCAATAATTCGTAACGAATTTCTGTGGATATTTAATTTCTTTAATGCGAACAGTTTCTTGCTGGTTCATATCAACAGAATACAAAGCATAATCTCAGTTAAAAAAGGTTTTCATCAAAATAATGTTTATAACTAACAGAATAAAAACTTCAGTATTTCAAGTATTGTCACGTTCATTTTTCTTTTCTAAATATAACCCAATATTTTTTGAAAACTTTGTTCTTTACCTATTAATGAAATTTGCTTAATATGTCAATTTCTTCAACTATTTCATTTTTTTTATTCAAAGGTTTTATACGGTCTTACGTGATTGTCTTTTTTCAGAAGAGGAAAATTCTGGTTATTACTAGACGAACATTCTTCTGAACCATTTAAAGTATATTTGATTTTAAAAAAGTTGTTTAATTCATTTATTTTTAATTTAATAATTAGAAAATAATCTAGTTCAACCTACAACATAATTTGTCATGAATATAAAATGTATCTATAGATCAACTGACACACAGTACACCTCAAATTCTCATTTCATTCAAACACTGTCTAGGTCATCCAAATAATTCAGAAAAAAAACATGTTTGTTTGAATGAAAATATAACTTTGTTTATGTAATCCGTGCATAAATAATGAAATATGTATAAGTAAATGTTCATTAATATAATTAACTGAATTAAGCAAAGAATGTGAATTATACAGAGAATATATATGACCTAGTATTAAACTTCAGTGATTGTAAATAAAATGTTGATCTTACTTCATAAGAACATTACACATCTTATCATAAAGATAATAAAGAATAAGTATCCAACTCAGCTACATTTCATTACAATGTTTTCCAACGAAACAGTTCTAATCGTTATTATTTATAGGTAGTATAAGTTATTACACTGTAAACATCAGTAAAAGGAATCGTTTTCTGGTCTGAATAAGTTTACCTTAAAAACAGGTTTAAATAGGCATTCATATCGAACTAAACACGTATTGATATTAGTTTGTGTAAAAAATAATAAAATCTCCGTACATTAACCCTTCTTGAGTTACAACTAAATATCAATCAGAATGATTACAAAAATTACATGATACAAAATAAAATTTAAATGTAATTCATCGACCAGATCTTGGAAAAACGGAGTCAAAACAGTTTAATATAAATAAATGTTTACAATTACATTTCAGACTTCTTTAGTTATCAAATACTATTGTGTTTAATATTTTAAAACTCAATCACTAGCTGTCTTTATGCTGATTTGCTCAAAATTTGATGAAAATCATCATACTACTGTGTTTGTGGTTTATATTTTCCTGCTTTTTATGTGAGTAGTTAAAATTTGTCAGTATTTATTATTGTGTATTTGTCATAAGAAAAGAATTCTAGTCCTGCATACAATTTAACATGATAGAATAGTATACTCCACAAAAACTAATGACATTTCTTTGTGATTTCAATTGTGGCACATTATAATACAATTGATAATTCCATTGAATTTGTTCTTTTTAACTTATATATTTATAGTGGACATACGATTTGAATGATCGTAATGAACGTGAAATTCTAGGTAGAGGAGTTTCGGCGTGGTTTATACAGGTTGGGACCTCACAAAGCAAATTAAAATGGCTATCAAAGAAATTGATGCAGTGAATATAAGGTATGATAAATTATTATTGCATCATCTCATTTATTTAATAGATATTGTATTTTCCTCGAGTTCCAGGTTATGCATAGATACATGTAGATCCAGATACATATTTTAAAATCCATGTTTCAAACCAATGGCCTTTTAATGAGTATTTCTTTCATGAACAGGTGGAAAACCCATTTAACATCACATTACTACATCATTACTTGTAAAATATGTGTATTGTATTGCTAGTAAATTGATTTTTTTTGTGGCGTGGTGTATGTCACTTAGCTACTTATGATATAAGTAGTGTGTAGCAGCAGTCGGAAGTGGAATACCTGGCAGCAGAAGATTGTAATGTAGAGAAAAGGAAGGAAATTGGAGAGCGTTCAAGATAACAACGGAAATAAAAGAACAATGAGACATATAAAGGCAACGCAAAGAAAATGTACAAATGATGTATTTAATTTATGATTTTCATATTTTGCTAATCGACTGTGCAATTATTCATTAAACATAAAACTGGTTTACCCCACCTGAGTTCTCGTTCACTTCAATGGTAATCTACATGAATGAGATTTTTACACACAAAGTTTGTGATAATAATTACTTTCAAACAGTCATGATGAACAAATGTTAATTACATCTAGAAATCAACAGTTTTCAGATTACATAGATCTTTCTTTATGCAACTCCATCTAAATTAATCATTACAAAACATCAGTTTATGATAACAATTGTTAATATTTGTCGAATCAATTTTCAATTAAAGAATAACTACTACCTACAAACTACTATATAATCATGAAAAACGTACATTACACTATCAATAAATAGATTTTATTCTCCTTTTTAAATGTTTATTTGTTCATTTATTCAAGTGTTTTTACCTCTAAACTTCTACTATAGTCTATTTTACAAAATATAACTGCCTAAATACAGTAGAATGGTACTAAATAACAGCGATATGAAAAAAGATGGTAAATTGTTTTCACTAAGAAAATAATTTGTTTATACCACGTGAAAATAGAATAAAATTGTTTAATATTTTGATTTTAAACGTATGTAGAAAGTATAAGAATTTTAACCAAATCATAAGATAACCTTTGTTGGCTACAAGTAATCATTTATTTGTTTACAAACATAAAGACAAGATCAACTGGAACAAAATATATGTGAACGTTTCACAGACAATGAAGTCAATACATATTTAACCTTCATAACTGAAAACAAACGAAAAAAAAAACAGAATTAAACGTTTCTTGAACAAATTCCAGATAAAATGTATATGACAAAAAGAGGTTTTTCATAAACGTGATGAAGAGTATCTAAGACTAGAGAAATATCTTTTTATTAAAATATAATTTATTATTTTAAGGTGTGATAGAGAGATTGGTTAATGAATAAATAAGCATGAATAAACTATCTAATATCGTCATTTATGACCTGACCTATTTAAACATGATTTATCAAGCTTAGTATAGAAACTGTGCATTTTAGTTGACAGATTTATGTTTATCATAGATGGAAACAAAAAGATAGATAGGAAATTGAAAATTCTTAACTTATGCGTTACGTTACTATAAGCAAGTTATTTGACGTTTGTCATTAGACAGTAACCAAATCATTATGTGATTGAAGTCTTTTTCCACCTTACTCTTCCAAAGTCCAATGAAGTCATTTTTTCTTTTAAAAAATGTTATTTTTGTCAGAATAGATCTATATAGCTGTTGTTATGGACTCAATTATCAACAAATTATTGTACTTAATCAAGCCACTTAAAATGTTCATGAGAAATCACCTTAGTTTCTTGATAATATCAGTGTATTTTGTTATTATTAACCACTGGGGCGATGTATATATATATATATCACTTCAGCAGATAACTTCACTAGAAACTCACCTTTTAATATATCCTGGAATTGAAGATAGCAGATATGTTTGCTAAATGAGCATAACGTTAGGAATTTTGTTTTATGTAAATATATGTCAATACTATTGCCTATATTAATCGTTTTTGGTTTTTCTCTACGGAATACGTTAGTACTTGTAATTTTGATGCAAACATTTCGCTAAATGAAGTAATTTGCTTCATAGCGTTGAACAACTAAACGATTCTTCTATATTTTCGTTTCCATTTAGGGAATTTCAACCGCTACATGATGAAATTCGATTACATTCAAGACTTCATCATAAAAACATTGTACAGTACTTTGGATCTGTTGATCATGAAGGAGTGTTTATGATATTTATGGAACTGGTTCCTGGCGGTACGTCTTGTTCAGTTTAATTGTAACTACTTTATTCTAATTAATTTAGAACCCTAACTCAATAGACCTTATAAATCTCTCTGTTTCATATGCTTATCAGCATTGATCAAAAACCTTAACGCTATATTTAATATTCACGATGATGGTTGAATGATAGATATTTAACCAAACTACATTTCGTTAAATGTTTCCGCCTCAATAACTTTTCAATTTGATATCACTAACGAATTGGACATTTTTTCGTGAAATGAGTAATCGAATGATCATTTCAAGTGTTGAATTGATACTCTTTTCTTTGTAGCGTCATTAACATCACTTGTCTCAAAATATGGTGCTTTGAAAGAGGAAACAGTGGCAAATTATTCAAAACAAATATTGGAAGGTCTACAGTATTTAGTGAGTATTTTTTACTAAAACTATGTAATAAGATTCACAATATACCTTGAATTTAACTTACAAGGAATCATCCTCTACGAACTAAAATATACTCTCACCTCAAGATAGGTCGCATAAAACAGTTTTTCGTGATCAAACGCAGCTTCAAATCATTAGTTGTACGTATTTAGTGTATCCTGAGACATTTCGAATAAGCTAACGCATGTATAAGTCAGGGTCTGTAAGTTTGAATGCCTAATGTGATATAGACGCTTGGTTATCGCCTATATCCGATATTCAGTGTCATATAAAGTTAGCATTGTGTGGATTAAGCTCATGACCGCTTGTTAAACTTAAAAGAAACATTCGAAATTAATAATTTTCAATTCAATTTGAATAGGTTTTTACGTAGTTAACTAATAAAATAAAACGACAGGTACATCTTAACACAGGTAATAATGGGATATATTTACTCACCGTCGATATCAAAAATTAAAAACAACATTATATCTACCAGATCGCTCTAATGTTTACCTATTTTAATAATGATTTTTTCGTTTTTCATTCGTCCATTGATTTTCTCTACAAGTAATATTTATTTATGTAGCTAAATAAAATGACAAACTGATGTATAAATTCTATAATCCCGAAGTTTTCTAGTATGATATATAACTTCACAGCACAGTCTGTTTGAGAAATTCCATTATTTTCTAAGCATACTCATTACTTTTCAGTAGTCTGTATCAGAAATAAAAAGAACTGTGTAGTAATTATTAATGCAAATAGCACTGCTTAACCGAAAATCTCAAATAATTAGTTGACTTTCAGGCCCAAACGGTGGACGTAATTTAAGAAAGAATAAAAATGTTCATTTTCATTAATTACTTGTTCTAACAATTATAAGTAATTCAGATGATAAAACGGCTCAATCAACAAACTATTGTGAAAAAATGTCGCCACCAGTAAATCAATGAACATTGGTATCTGATTTTTCATGTTACGATCTACCTCGACACAGTTTTTGCCTTATTTATTTGTCTGTTAATACAGAATAATTGAATAAGAAAACTTACATTCATATATCAGTGAAACTTAATAGCTATTTTACTAATGTTACCTAAATACATTTTATTACTTTAATCATATCAATATAGCATAAACGGTCTTATTCAACTATTCAACCAACTTTATTATTTTTAGCTTGTAATAAAATATATTTATACCGCTCATTTTCACTACTAATGATTATCACCATATTATATTTTATTAAAAAAAGCATGCAAATCGAATTATTCATAGAGATATTAAAGGAGATAATATTCTCGTTAATATGTATAAAGGTGAACTGAAAATAACAGATTTTGGAGCATCAAAAAGACTAGCAGGTTTGATTCCACGAGCTCAAACATTTAAAGGTAGGTAAATTTTATGCCATAAATATTTGACAAAAATTTCATTGAAATAATGAGTGTACTGACAAAATTAATGTCACTGAAATTTCAACCTTATTAGAATGCTTTCTTAGTATATGCACTTGTATTCAGACTAACAGTCTCTTAAATTATATTTTATACTAATTTGTTCAGAAATTTGTTTATTCCACGGATGGACCTTACCAATAAAATTCAGAAAGTAATAAACAGCTATTTTATCCTAGTATGGGACTAAGTAGTGCTTATCTACGACCAGAGACTGGAATCAGGACTTCCCGACTTCATGACGAGCGCTTAAACTTTATATCTATTGGGTTACATTGTTAGCTTTGTTCGATTTAGCAAAATAACCCATTATGTATTTTGCAAAATACAATTTATGATACAAATAATGATGGCATACTATGAACTATGAGGAAAATTAACCGCAGCCTCTTGATTATAAGTAGATTAATGAAAGCAGCTATTCAGGGAGTAATGAATGTGTTCACAATTAAAATTATTGACAAGCGAGCTATTATACTACAACAAAATTATCAAAGAACTTAGCAATAGGAATTATGTTCTAAAATTATTCTTAAAGTTTTACAACCCCCAATTTATTCAATCACCCACTTGTCGATCAAATTCGCCAAGTTTAATATTGAAATATCTTTAATCATAGAACTATGTGCCTTTTGGTAAATCAAAAATTTCACTATGTATTTGATGAGCCACAGAAAAACTATATCACTTATTAAGAGAATAATCAAGTTTTACTATCTGTGAATTTATTATATCTATTGACAACAGAATAAAAACAGATAAACAGGGATCTTGAATCATCATCATCATATGATGTGAATAACTATGGAGAAAAAAAATTATCTAATAACTAATTCAAATGTAATTTACCAATCAGCTGTTCGAAAATAATTTAATCAATCGTTCGTCATTCCATTAAAACGAAAAACATTTAAAAATGATTTCGCTGACATAAATTTTAATATTAACCAAATTTCTGAATCATTGTTCTTTATTTTATTCACTATTTGAAAAAAAAGCCAAAGTAAATTCATTTTCTAGGTATCAGCTTCTTGAAAATTATTCGTATTGATAACCAATAATCAACAATGCTAAACAATTAATTAAGGTGACAAAGTTTATCAATTAGTACGTGTAGATACTTACATATCCATATGTAAGATCATTGGAATGTATATCAAGAAAACAGGTTAAAGTATTATATACCGATAGCTTTGAGTTAACCATTCGGAATTAAGATAATAGCTCGATTATTTTGCTCAAAGTTTTAAGTGCAGAGATAAACAGAGTTTGTGTTATTATAAATGAAGTGAAAATCAACAATATTTGGTTTTTGGAATATTTTAAATCAATTAAAATATCTATGATACAACGATAAAATGAATTTAAATGGTGCTTAAGTTACATGATATACCTGCTTCTATGGCAAATTATACTTTTACCAGAACTTACTTACTTACATATGCCTGTCAACCACCCCCTCAAGGAGCATAGGCCGCCAACCAGCATTCTCCAACCCACTCTGTCGTGGGCCTTCCTTTCTAGTTCCATCCAATGATTGTTCATTCTTCGCATGTCTGTCTCCATTTCTCGACGTAATGTGCTCTTTGGTTATCCTCTTCTCCTTTGACCTTGAGGGTTCCAGGTGAGGGTTTGCCTTGTGACGCAGTTGGGTGCTTTCCTCAATGTGTGTCCTATCCACTCCCAGCGCTTCTTCCTGACTTCTTCCTCCACTTGAATCTGGTTTGTTCTCTCCCACAGTAGGTTGTTGCTGATAGTATCTGGTCAACGGATCCGAAGTATTTTGCGTAGACATCTGTTAATAAACACCTGTATCTTCTGGACGACGGCTTTCGTAGTTCTTTAAGTTTCCGCCCCATATAGTAGAACTGTCTTCACATTTGTGTTGAAAATTCTGACTTTGGTATTACTTCTACCAGAAACAAATAAGTAAAAAGTTTATTATTTAAAATTCGAAAATTAATAATAGTTGTTGAGTAGTTACAAAAGATATGAGTTTACATAAGTTATGTATGATTGATAATCACCCAATGAACAAAAGATTAGTTTCAAATCGGACAACAATAATTGATAGATAAAGACTGTCTGATAAGGGTTCTCGCGACTTTCGTAACCAATAGTTAGCAACGTTGAATGATAAGGTTCAGAGTCAGTCACACTGATGTCGATCAGTTTAATCTTTGTCATATCTTCGATCCTGAGTTTCTACTTCTTGAATTCATTCTTCCTTCCCGAATCATATTGTCTATGACTAATTATTCCTACAACCACTGTCGTGTATGCTGCTTATGCTGACAGATATAAGTAGTACGTAGCAGCAATACTTACTTACTTACTTACGCCTGTTACTCCTCGTGAAGGAGCATAGGCCACTCACCAGCATTCTCCATCCAACCCTGTCCTGGGCAATCCTTTCCAGCTCCGTCCAGTTGTAATTCATCCTTTTCATATCTGCTTCTATTATCCGACGCAATGTGTTCTTTGGCCTTCCTCTTTTTCGCTTCCCTTCAGGATTCCAAGTTAGGGCTTGCCTCGTGATGCAGTTTGACGATTTGCGTAATGTATGTCCTATCCATTTCCATCGTCTTTTCCTAATTTCTTCTTCAGCTGGAAGTTGGTTTGTTCTCTCCCACAGTAGGCTATTGCTGATGGTATCCGGCCAATGGATGTTGAGTATCTTGCGTAGACAGCTATTTATAAATACTTGTACTTTCTTGATTGTGGTTGTTGTAGTTCTCCAAGTTTCAGCTCCATACAGTAGAACTGCCTTGACGTTCGTATTGAAGATTCTCACTTTGATATTGGTTGAAAGTTGTTTTGAGTTCCATATGTTCTTCAATTGTAGGAATGCGACTCTTGCTTTGCCGATCCTCGCCTTTACGTCTGCATCTGAACCTCCTTGTTCATCGATGATGCTTCCCAGGTATGTGAAGGACTCTACATCTTCCAGAAATTCGCCATCAAGAGTGATTGGATTGCTGTTCTCCGCCTTGAATTTGAGGACCTTGGTTTTCCCTTTGTGTATGCTGAGGCCTACTGATGCAGAGACTGCTGCTACACTGGCTGTCTTCATCTGCATCTGTTCGTGTGTACGTGATAGGAGGGCTAGGTCGTCTGCGAAGTCCAAATCGTCTAATTGATTCTGAGCTGTCCATTGTATTCCGTGTTTTCCTTCAGATGTCGAGGTCTTCATAATCCAGTCGACCACCAGAAGAAAGAGGAAGGGAGAGAGTAAACAGCCTTGTCTGACTCCAGTCCTTACTTGGAATGCATCTGTCAGCTGTCCTCCATGCACTACTTTGCACTGTAGTCCGTCGTATGAGTTCCGGATAATGTTGACAATCTTCTCAGGAACTCCGTAGTGTCGAAGAAGTTTCCATAATGTCCTCCTATCTACACTGTCGAATGCCTTTTCATAATCAATGAAGTTGATGTATAGTGATGAGTTCCACTCAACTGATTGTTCGACGATGATCCGTAGTGTTGCAATTTGGTCTGTGCACGACCGATCCTTACGGAATCCAGCTTGTTGATCTCGAAGTTGGGCGTCTACTGCATCCTTCATCCGGTTCAGCAACACTCTGTTGAAGACTTTCCCTGGTATTGACAGTAGTGTAATGCCTCTGTAGTTTTCACATTTGCTCAGATCTCCTTTCTTTGGAATCTTGACGAGGTGTCCTTCTTTCCAGTCCATTGGCACTTGTTCCTCCTCCCAAATCTTTTTGAATAGAAGGTATAGCATGCTTGTGGTTGCTTCGATGTCTGATTTCAGTGCTTCAGCTGGTATGTTGTCGGGTCCTGCTGCTTTCCCGTTCTTGATTTGTCTGACGGCCATTCTAGCAGCAATAGGAAGCAGAATATTAAGACGGGAAGAAAAGGGATGAAATAGGAAAGCAATCAAAAGAGCAACAGAATTATATAAAGGATATATAAAGGATAATGCACAAAAGCTGTACAAATGTATGATTTTCATATTTTAGTGGGCTATTGTGTGATTTTGCATTGAACAATAATTCGGTTTACCTTACATGAGTTTCGCTCATTACATTAATATAACTACTGTTACTATTACTACTACTAATACTACTCTGTAATTTGTCTTAGTGATTTAGTCTTGCTTTAGTGACGTGGTATGGGTACATAAGGCAATGCATTTGTGAACTGGATTGACTGAATACTAGATGATTTTGTGCTCAGGGAAATCACTTGGTAATAAATCGATGACTGTTTCTTTCTGGACGCATAAGTTTAAGCTTATTACTACTTAGCACTTTAACGAAGAGCATTTGAGTTGTTTCTATCTATAAATTATTTTGAAAGTATCATAACCGTCTACAACACAATTCAATAAATCTAGTTTGCGTTCGGAATAATCCTGTCTATATTGTCGTAATTGACATATTTTACTGTTTTTAATGTCCATTATTTAAGGTACTATGCGCTACATGGCACCAGAACTTATCAGGGGTTGTTGTGGATTTCCAGCTGATATATGGAGTTTTGGATGTACTGTTGTAGAAATGTTGACAGGAAAACAGCCGTTCAGTGAGGTAATAATATGTAAACAAATATTCTGAATCAATTTACAATTTGATGAAGATAAAAGTCTTTCATAGCCTTCTTTAGATGCATGTAAACATTTTGTTTAAACGCAAGGACAGTATATTCAACACATAAACCAAGGGTATAATTCAACTTATTCAATATTTGCTGTGATTAGTAGGGATTACTCACAGCTTGTATGAACAAGTTAAACATGGCGAAATTCCAAGATCTCATTAATATTTATAGTTTATATACAATCAGATAATGACAATTTTTAACTAACATTTCTTTGAAACTGTTCACTTCTAATGAGGTATATTCAGCCCATAAATATTAAATTTGTAACCACAGCGCACAAAACTAGTTACAATACACTACTTACTGAATGTGATTAGAAGTAAAGCTTTAAGTAGGCGTTCTGTACTTTTGTTTACTTAGCAGACAAATGTTCTAGTCCCTCCCATCAGTGTATAGAACGTAAAGCATTGTTGAAAATCTCCCTTAGTATGAGTACTCCGACTAGGCGTCAAGAATGTTTAGTACAAACCGAATACGTGAAAAATTTACATCACATAGTACCATTCAAAAAAGTAGTGTGTTGCAAAGTGAAAGGTCTTTCATACTAAAAATAGGCGGTGTATGCTCGTCAGCGGATTGGTTACACCATTATACAACCTTTGTTTAAAGAATAAGTAGTTTAACGTATAAAGCTGTAAGACCAGTGGTGATATAAACCAAATGAATGGTATTAGTACAGATCTACATACCCTCTGATTTTCTATTAATGTTAAATCCAAAAGTGATTAATGTTTATTACTTCCTTGTTAGCTATCGTCAATCATTTTTACTTAACAATTTATTTCCTCCTGAGTTTTCTTCTGTTTGACTCTGAAGTGAAGTCGTAACTTCTTGTTTTGTTGTTTTTAAGACTTCTTTAAATAACGGTTGGTTTCTACTATGGTCTCATCTGTAAGGATATTGGTAATCAGTACATTTACAGGTGATAATTAATAGATTGATTCCCTTTAGATCATAAACTGCGTATCATTTAAAGTTCTACGGTTGAAATTGCATCACTAGTTTCCATGTCATTTGGTTATGTTCTGGTCTTCTTTGTGATGTTTCTATAGATTAAGCTCATAACATAATCTAAAGATAACATCAATTCAATTCGTAACGTGTAGTTTCTAACGAAATATGTCCAACAATCTACTACTTCAAGCCATACAGTAGGATGTTAAAATAATCTTACAAACGCATAAATGAGATGTACAGGTAATCAAATAATATTCGTAATACCAAAGAACAATTCTACTTAATCCTATTTAGTTCTCCAGTCAAACATATTACGTTCCAAATGAATCAAATGGCAGATGTTAGGTAACGATTAACCGTTTCTATACTTACGTAAACGTTAAAACTTATAGAAACTTTATTTATAAGAAGGTAGCATTTTTGTTTTAAGTAACCCATCGACTTCTGTGAAACTCATACTTAAAACAAGATCCTAATTTTGTTAATCAACCGTTCAATTTCAACCATAAAAATATAGTGAATGTGATCAATTTTTGTGCTTAAGACTGCATAACTATTTTTCTATAAACTTTCACATCTTTTATAATTACTACTTGTATATAGAATAACGAAAGGAAATCTGGATCTCAATATTTTACTTCTATGTGCGCTTTTGGTTTAAATCTGTTGAAGTTACATATAAACACAATTGTGAATCCATCACTCATACTAATTCCCATGCTTGTTTCAGCATCGCTGCTTGAAAATGTGGGTTAACTTTATCTTCTCATCTATAATCGAGTTAACATTAAGTCTACATATTCGACTAAACAAATATGAAGAAGAAATAACATGACAATTTAAACACCACTTATCCAAAACTGAAAGCACATAATTTTCATAGTCATTCCATTTACTTTGAATGTCTTTCTTTGGTTTATGTACAGTATTTATAATTTCATCCACTGAAGACCAAGTTTTCAAGTAACCTCAATGATAGGAAATAAATTTAACAACTGGATAAAAAATAAAACAAGTGAACATGATGTTACAATATGATGAATACATACTAGTGTACTAAAAAGTAATATGGGCTACCGGAAAAAGAACACCGATTGTCCATAATTTAGAATAGTTTGTTACTAAGAGTACAATAAAAATAGATTACCAAAGATCAAATATATGAACCCAATGAGATCTCTGTTCACCAACGAAAAACCGAATGTAACGATAATAGACTGTCTTACTATACAGAAGTAATGTTTGATCTTTTACATGATTAGGCTAAAGGAATCCAGTAGCATATATATTCAATGCATTCCACACTTATGATGAGACCAGAAAAACAATTTATATCTAGAGTTTTTCAAAACCATATCAATATAGCTGTTAATGGACTTAAATAACATTGATGACCGAAGTAACGCTGAAGTAATCACCTCCATTTGTTGAAGTAGATCTTAATAAGTTTGATAATTTATGTTTCTTCATATTCTGCTTTCTTTCGTGGATTTGGTGGGCTTTATTGATACAACTGTTACTAGCTCCTATTTGCCGATCAGTCAATATTCGACATCTAGACCAGTTGTCTCATATTTTTCCCTGAGTTCACACAGTTTATCTATTATATTCAGTTATGTTTCCTAGTGTGAATTTTTGCATTATCATCCTGAAATAATACTTGATTCATTCATACATACATATTTTGAAGTCTTGAAAATTAACAGAATTTGCTCCCTTTTAGTTTTGTGGGAATTTTCAATACTTCTCTCTATTCCACTTCTTCGACTGTCTTTCGTTTTTTGTTCAAATTAGCTTGGGAATGCAATGACTGCTCTATATCGAGTTGGTATGGATTTGCAACACCCCAAGATCCCTGATGGAGTTTCAGTAGCTTGCAAAAACTTCATACTGAAAACATTTATCATAGAGCCATCCAATCGTGCTAGCGCTAATGAACTGTTATCAGATCAATTTATCCTAAGGTAATGGAAATTTTTTCAATATAAACCGAACTAGATTCTCATCAACGATTTATTAACACTACATTTGAAACATCAAGCATGTTGTTATATATTCTATGTACAAGTAAAGTATTTTGAAATTTTAACAATATCATTTCATTACATATATATAGAATACCATCTCATAGTTTATAAAGCTGGCAATTAATTTCATACAATATCTCACCACTCTATGATAATTTATTTATAAATAAGAGATGTAATAAAAAATAGGTAACACTTAAAGCAACATGATTTCTGATCAATATTATGCAGAAATTATGTTCTGAATTTGTCTGTTCTTTTATTGATCTAATTCAGTATGTTTCATATGTTTGATATTTGCATTAGATTATCTTTGCTATATTTCGTGTGCCAAGATTTCCTTGTTTTTAGTTTGGCTAGCATGTTTGAATCTTTGTTATGTTTGTTATGTATGTGAACAGCTACATTGTGTTATCGTAACTACTAGATTGATCCCTGATTAGTTTGAAGTGTTTAGTTTTGAGCAACCTGAAACTTCGACCGAATGATAGTCAATAGAATAATTATTTCGTGAACTAAGTAGATAGCTACTGCATGTTTTCCTAGAAAGCTGTATAATATTTTCAAAGTTTTTTAACTGATTTTGAAGTGGTTGATCGCGTTGACCACCTCTCTTATCTTAGAAGTCTCACCAGCTCTGATGGGTTGGTGTCTAAAAGAAACTCAGGACCTATTTCTCTAATCCCGCATGGCTTTTACAAACTTATATCACTTGCATCATAGGTCCGATATCCGCCTGACAACAAGTATGCCTATAGGCTGCTCAGAAGTCTTCTCTGTGTTACTCTGTAGCTTATAAACATGGTCTATGACATGTAATGACATGCATAGGCTGAAGATTCTCGATCATAAGTATCTTTGAAAAATTACTCGCGTTTCCTGGAACAAGCGAGTGGGCAATAATGAAGTTAAGCATAGAGCACTAGGCGATAGCGATAAATCTGTTGATGAGGTAAAGAATGTCCATTAACGGAGATGCTTATGACAAATGCCACGTATGCCTGACCACCTCCTTCCTCGATAAGCGGAGCCCATCAGTGCAGAAGTAGGTTTAAAGAAAGTTATGAGAGGCCAAACTATGTCAGCATTATTCCATGTACACATTGACTGTTAAGTTGAGCTATGTTGGTATACAAAGACCAATTTGTTTGATTCTTCTCCATATATAGAATCAACTGATAATTTGGTTCATTTCTTCAAATAATTTCCATAACCTAACCACTTTTTAATAAATTTAAGACAATTAGTCGCCTTTAATTGGTAACATTAGAAACAATTATCTTTTCATTGTTATCGATGAACGTCATTATTTCTAACTGTAATGCGTTTCTAATTGTTTGTAGTAGCTTGGGCACAAATCCCCTTATACTAAGCATGTGTTTCTAAAATCTACCATAGATCTTAATATATATAATATCTGTTTAATCTTTTGTAGTATCACATTTATAAAGCTAAAAACCAATATAAGTTTGTTTTACTTAAGTAGCTTAACAATGAATTAGTTTTTGTTGTTTTTATTTGTATTGGAATAATCTTTTGACTAGAGTTCCTTGTTCTTTTGTTACCAGGATTCTCCTTGAAAATTCTTATTTTAAATAACAGTAGGAACCATAAACGTTTATGTTTTTTTAAGTCGTTATCTTATTTCTGATATTTTTATAAAATATCCACTTAGTTTTTGAATAGTTTGTTTAAAATTATCTTCAGCTACCTCCCGTGATTGCTCATCGCATACTTCCACTACTGCGTCTTCAGACTATATGACACATATGACAATTTTTCATGTATATAGATATTAGTTATATTGTTCGTGATTGTATTCGATCACAGGTTGAAGACATTACCCTATTTTGCACCTTATATATCTAAATGGTTATTGTTCGACAAAATTATGCGTTACTCATTAAACGCATGCATACTGATATACAAGACTCAATCATCACGTTAATTATCTCAATTAAATATAAATTCACAGGTCTTCCAAATAAAAACGGAGAAAACTTACGTAGCTGAACTAATGTTGTTATAATGAAAGCATATACCTTAAAATAATAATTCGTATTATAGTACAGAGATGCTTCCATGATTCATATAACTGTTGTACACAATAATCCGTTTAAACACTACAGTTTATACATAATCAGCATTGACGTTCCTATTCTTTAAAATATGCCGATTTTTTTAAAATTAACTGTAAATTTTAGCTATGACATAAATATCCCTATTCACCTCATCTACTTACGAGTAGTAAAATTAGTTAATTGTAATTAATTAGTCACAATTCTTTATTTCTGGTCGTCGTCGAGGATTTATGTCTCAGATTAAAGTGCAAACTGTTAATATTTTAAGTTGTATTTGGATGAAATTAGGTATGCTTGGTGTTTATCAAAGGTTGTCTTTTCATTCATTGCTTATGCTAGTTACAGTTATGCCTGATTACTTCGAATAATTATTTTTTGCAAACATTATGTACTAAGTTGGTTCTAAATGGCTAACAAAAAGTCACTGGTTCAACTAATGATTCTAAAAGCCTTTGAAAATCTCCGATGTATCAATATGGGTTACAAGATATAGGTGTGAATTAATTCACTTGAATCATTTCAGAAAATGTCTATATTTTATTGAATAATTTTGTCATAGACATCCTACTAGAAGTAACATTTTAATGGAATAACAGAAAAATAATTCCACTTTAACTGATATTCGATCGATTCCTTATCGTCTGCAGAAATAGTTCTGCTAAATCGAACTTCCAAACAAATGCGATCAACTTAACACTGTGTAACAATGGGAATTTCACATCCATTCTTACCAGTATATGTGGTCCTCATGTGGATGGAAATAATTAAATATGTTTATATTTACACACTATACATGATATGTTTTTCGTAATCAGATTGTTGAGCTCGTAAAGAAATATTTAAAAATCATATATTAACAAACTTATATCAGGTATTCATCTCTAAATGAAAGAAAACATTTTCAAAAGTTTATTCTATGGACTCTACGTTTTTCAGGAAAAGTAAAAATAGATATTTTACTTATTTCATGAGTTGAAATTCGTAGGAGATATTAAGACTAGCGTAAATATTGATCATCATTACGTAGACTTGATGTCACCTCAATCAACATAGTTGCATCCATTCTCTAGTTTTGTCTTGAATCCTAATTAATTTGTATTTTTCATTTCTTGTTTTTTAACTACAATTCGGTAATTTTGTTTGACATTTTAAAAACCTCCAGCATAATTGTTCGTATTTTTCTCTTCAAATTCCTTTGTTGTTTTCTTTTGATCAAGTTTTTAAACTTGTATTTGTGTCCAACTCAATATATATTGATAAGTACATCCTTAAAATAAAATTTACCATGTCTAAATACTAAAATATTTCAGTGTAATCTTTATAACTTATTATTACATTATGATCAATGAATTAACCTTTCTCCGACCGCTTGGTTAATTATATTTACAGTTTTACAAAATTAAGACGACGTAAACCAGTGGGACTAACACACTCTTCAGGTAGGTAGTTCGTTTACTGCTCTAATATACTATATTGATCATAACTGTATTTAGTTATATTTTCAGGCTTTTTCTTATATTGGTCAGTATTTTGTTCTGACAGCGATTCAATAATCTAAGTAATATCACTTCGAAACTTCAACTAAAATTACTGTTTAGAACTTTGGGCAATATTGCATTTACAGGTTGCCATTATTTGCAAGAAGTAAATTTCCTCAATTCTGTTGACATTATATAAGAAGTATATATATATATATATATAAGGAGTATATAATTAGTTCATATAAGGGTTTCTAAGAATTCCCTAATTAACCAATCTCCCAATTAAAACAGATGAAAACTTTTTAACTCTAAATCAATGAAAATGTTTGTAGTTAAAAAATACATTTACTCTCAGTGAATATGAATGAAAACGTTACAATAATCATCTAATAATGATTTGAAAACTATGCGTAAAATTTTAACTCAAATTACATTAATAATTTAATAAGAATTTAAGTCAAATAGCTAAACTTGAATATAAAACCTTTGAATAATTTATTTTAATGATAAGAAATGGAAATTCAAAAATAACCTGTCAATGAGAAACTAATCAATCAAAAGTACTTTGTGTTTTTTTGAATTTCAATATATAGCGTTTGAATTAATACTACTGATTAACTACTAATGGTAATACATTCATTGAATATATATTTTTGTAAACAACAGTAAGCCACATTTTGTGAGGGTTAATAATATCGCCCAAATGATCACATAGACGTATGAGTCAAAGCTTAAATATGCAATCTACAGATTATTTACTAAACCATCGTCTTATTGTTCTATTTATAAACTGATTATAAACTAAAAGCTGGGTTTAAACTTCTTGACAAAAAATCAAAACTGGCAAAGACAAATAACTGATTGACATTGAAAAAAGATATCGGTTTTAACTTGCTATTTAATGATTGGTGTTTTTAAAAGTATTTATGTTTTTTATCTTAATAAATTGATGATGTTCCATGCATTTTAAAAAAATTAACACTATTTCGGTAGAAAATGCTTATTTCTTGAGAACTTGTCAGCATCGACATTAGTATAATTTTCAAATTTTAAAGCTATCAGGACAAAATAAGCCAATTGTTGGAGTCATTAGGAAGAAAATCGTGTATTAAACTATGTTTTCTTTTATTTGATATTTGTTAAGAATAAATATCTACAAGTGTAACATGACCAATAGAGAGAGACTTTAGCATAGAGCTATTCAGGGTATGGTTAACCTCCTCCAAGACTGTTATAGTAACACCAAGTCATTCCTCAGCGGTAACCAATATCAAACCACTTAGAGCACATATACGTTAAGAATGGATTCCTAGAATTTAATTTCACTAAAGACTTCACAATTTAAATATATATCACTACTCAGATATTAATCAGTAAGAAGTAAGTATTACGACTACAACAAACGTCAACTAAAAAAATTAAGATAATAAATTTCAGTCATCACAAAGAAAAAAACAGTAATTCCAGTTGAGTACTGTCCATTAGAAATTTACTAATTCACAACTAAACTATCAGTTTCTAGAATGATGATGTTAGAAACTATGTGAAACAGTTGACTTCATCTTAAAACCATTTTGTTGCTTTTTATAACAGAATTTTCTATTATATTATTAGATAGTTGTATATTTATACATTGTGCTTTACTTATTACATCAGATAGGTTCCGGCCGTCAAATAAGTTCTATCAACCAAACTGTAAATCATCTGAAGCAGTTCTAAGGTAATTAGTTTTAAATGTCAATATTTATTAACCAAAAGCAAATAATTCCCCTATTTTTATTCACATGCCATAAACCGTTTTAATTTGATGAATAACAGGAGTATTACAAATATTTCAGTATCCGTTTAGGAAATAACTGAAAATGTTATCTTATATAAAGTACACTATTATTTCATGTGTAAACCTTAAGAGTTAATTTTCACAAACGGATGTTTATTTAAACAATCATCGAGTACTAAACATCTGATTTCTATTTGACTCTTTCAAAACCAACTCCGCCTGTAGCTCTAATAGGGTTACTGCCGGTCCCAAGCCCGGGTAAAGGAGGAGGGTTGGGCATGGGGTTAGCGTCCCCATCCCGTAGAAAACTAACTCGCTAAAAAAACGCTTACCAGAAAAAATAATCCAAACCATTTAAACTCTGCCCTGGGAGTTAGAAGGTCTTCAGTTAGAAGAATTATGACGCTTCATGGTGAAAGCCGAGTTCCTTCGGAAGCCACGAGGCCGATGCCCCTTCTAACAACCAGAGCAAAAATTTTTATAGGTACATGGAACGTTCGAACAATGTGGGAAACCGGGAAGACCAGTCAAATAGCAATGGAAATGAGGAGATACAACTTAGCAGTACTGGGAATCAGCGAAACCCACTGGACCCAAGCTGGACAGAAAAGGCTAGCTACGGGAGAGATGCTGCTATACTCCGGTCACGAGGAGGACAATGCTCCACACACTCAGGGAGTCGCTCTTATGCTGTCCAAAGTAGCACGAAATGCACTTGTAGGATGGGAGTCTCACGGATCCAGAATCATCAAAGCATCATTCAAAACAAAGAAGGAGGGGATCTTAATGAATATTATCCAATGTTATGCACCCACCAATGATAGCAACGACGACATTAAAGATCAGTTCTACGAGCGGCTGCAGTCAATCATTGAGAAATGCCAAGAAAGGACCTAACTATTCTGATGGGAGATCTAAATGCCAAAGTCGGAATAGACAACACCGGATATGAAGATATTATGGGACGACATGGACTGGGAGAAAGAAACGAAAATGGAGAAAGATTTGCAAATCTATGTGCATTCAACAAATTGGTCATAGGAGGCACAATATTTCCACACAAGCGTATACACAAGGCTACATGGATCTCACCGGACCACACTACAGAGAACCAAATAGATCATATTTGCATCAACAAAAAATTCCGAAGGACAATGGAAGATGTGAGAACCAGGAGAGGTGCTGACGTAGCTTCAGATCACCACCTAGTTGTAGCCAATTTAAAACTGAAGCTAAAAAGAACTGGACAAGTGGACAAACAGCACTACAAAGGTTCAATACAGCCTTCCTTCGAGATACTGACAAACTCAATGAATTCAAGATAGCTCTCAACAACAGGTTCCAAGCCTTACAAGATCTACTGAAAGAAGAAGAAACTAGTATGGAGGACAACTGGAAAGGCATCAAGGAAGCATTAACTTCAACGTGTCAAGAGGTTCTGGGCCTAAAGAAACACCATCATAAGGAATGGATCTCTATAGAAACACTGGACAAGATCAAAGAAAGGAAGAACAAGAAGGCAGCAATTAACAACAGCCGAACACGAGCAGAGAAAGTCCAAGCACAAGCTGAATACATAGAAGCAAACAAACAAGTGAAGAGGAGCATTAGAGCCGACAAGAAGAAATACGTGGAAGAACTAGCAACGACGGCAGAAAAAGCTGCTAGAGAAGGAAATATGAAACAGCTTCACGATACAACGAAGAAACTAGCAGGGAAATACAGTAAACCAGAGAGGCCGGTCAAAGACAAAGAAGGCAAGCCAATCACCGAAATTCAACAACAGCGTAACAGATGGGTAGAATACTTCGAGGAACTCCTGAATAGGCCGGCTCCAATGAATCCACCGGACATCGAAGCAGCACACATAGATCTTCCTATAGATGTCAACCCACCAACGACGGAAGAAATTAGAATGGCCGTCAGACAAATCAAGAACGGGAAAGCAGCAGGACCCGACAACATACCAGCTGAAGCACTGAAATCAGACATCGAAGCAACCACAAGCATGCTATACCTTCTATTCAAAAAGATTTGGGAGGAGGAACAAGTGCCGATGGACTGGAAAGAAGGACACCTCGTCAAGATTCCAAAGAAAGGAGATCTGAGCAAATGTGAAAACTACAGAGGCATTACACTACTGTCAATACCAGGGAAAGTCTTCAACAGAGTGTTGCTGAACCGGATGAAGGATGCAGTAGACGCCCAACTTCGAGATCAACAAGCTGGATTCCGTAAGGATCGGTCGTGCACAGACCAAATTGCAACACTACGGATCATCGTCGAACAATCAGTTGAGTGGAACTCATCACTATACATCAACTTCATTGATTATGAAAAGGCATTCGACAGTGTAGATAGGAGGACATTATGGAAACTTCTTCGACACTACGGAGTTCCTGAGAAGATTGTCAACATTATCCGGAACTCATACGACGGACTACAGTGCAAAGTAGTGCATGGAGGACAGCTGACAGATGCATTCCAAGTAAGGACTGGAGTCAGACAAGGCTGTTTACTCTCTCCCTTCCTCTTTCTTCTGGTGGTCGACTGGATTATGAAGACCTCGACATCTGAAGGAAAACACGGAATACAATGGACAACTCAGAATCAATTAGACGATTTGGACTTCGCAGACGACCTAGCCCTCCTATCACGTACACACGAACAGATGCAGATGAAGACAGCCAGTGTAGCAGCAGTCTCTGCATCAGTAGGCCTCAGCATACACAAAGGGAAAACCAAGGTCCTCAAATTCAAGGCGGAAAACAGCAATCCAATCACTCTTGATGGCGAAACTCTGGAAGATGTAGAGTCCTTCACATACCTAGGAAGCATCATCGATGAACAAGGAGGTTCAGATGCAGACGTAAAGGCGAGGATCGGCAAAGCAAGGGTCGCATTCCTACAATTGAAGAACATATGGAACTCAAAACAACTTTCAACCAATATCAAAGTGAGAATCTTCAATACGAACGTCAAGGCAGTTCTACTGTATGGAGCTGAAACTTGGAGAACTACAACAACCATCATCAAGAAAGTACAAGTATTTATAAATAGCTGCCTACGCAAGATACTCAACATCCACTGGCCGGATACCATCAGCAATAGCCTTCTGTGGGAGAGAACAAACCAACTTCCAGCTGAAGAAGAAATTAGGAAAAGACGATGGAAATGGATAGGACATACATTACGCAAATCGTCAAACTGCATCACGAGGCAAGCCCTAACTTGGAATCCTGAAGGGAAGCGAAAAAGAGGAAGGCCAAAGAACACATTGCGTCGGATAATAGAAGCAGATATGAAAAGGATGAATTACAACTGGACGGAGCTAGAAAGGATTGCCCAGGACAGGGTTGGATGGAGAATGCTGGTGAGTGGCCTATGCTCCTTCACGAGGAGTAACAGGCGTAAGTAAGTAAGTAAGTCTTTCAAAACCAACACTCTTAACTAATTCTTTAAGAAAATCTAAATTCTCGCTTCATATAGTACTTTCTCCAAGTAAACTGACTACAAAGCATACTTCATTTAGTAGTGTATATTTATTCAGTGCTTTCTAAATTGTTAAAACAGATATATTGATAATCTTATTGCATAAATCTTAAACATATAATAATCTCATTTATTAAATATAAATGATATATAATTATGTTTATCGATTATTGAGCATCAAATGTAATCAGAAATTTATTATTCAATCTTATCTCAAACTAGTAATTAGAAGTACAAGTGTTTTAGTTCTGTTTTATGTTACTACATACAATTAAATAAACTGTGAACTAGTTGATATTATCTAATCAAAGTAGAATGAAACTTATCTAAATAGTTTAATAACAAACTACCTTAAGATAATAAAATAATATATTAATAGTTCAGAAAAATTACTATTGAACTTAATAGGTAGATCAATAGATAAAATAAAAATGACTATGTGCATTTGGAATAAGTCCATTTATGAAATATTTTCTTAAATACGGTTAAACAATTCATAAATTATTTACGTAATGCACAGGTTTATACCTGTGTTTTTCTTCAATGAATAACTAATTGTTACAGTTTATATCATGGATTAATATTAGTTAAACAGAAAGCATTGAACACCTGTTTCATCTTATTGTGAAACTTCTAAGCAATACACATCTATGATTCTACCACAAAAGTAGAGTCCATGATGTTTGGTCTCGTTCTAACGCGCTTAAGCTCTAGACCACTGAGACGACATACAGTGATTTTCATGTCTAATTTAGATCAGTTCTCGACATTAAGCAACCATCTTTCATTACTTGTAGTCGATAACCATCGCACACACAACATAGCTCAGTTACATTGGGATGAAAATTTAACTCTGTCAATAGGACATTTTACATGAAGCAACACTAATCAGTGTAGCTTCATTTTCATAACCATGTAACTTAATCACTAGAATCTAGACCGAAAAACACGAATGGATTTGTTTTTTTTTAATGATAAACAACAAATAACAAGTTAATCAAACATACGTAATCATAATCTTAAATATGGCATATTTTAATTTCAGATCTTTGTCAAATATATCAAATCAGTCAACTTCTCCGTTGATTATATCTGGTTCGAGTAAGTTATTCACTATGAGCACTGAAGCAAGATACTAATAAACTTGGATAAACGACATCCATTTATTTGTTTCTAACAAAAGTTTAAAGTGTTTTGTTGCATTTGTAAATAGAATAATATATTAATAAACTGAAAAGTAACTTTTGCTCACCAGCTCCAACCGCATGAACAAACACTGAAAACAGGAATCACAAAATTGTCGACCATTGTCCCGATTCAATTTTATTCTTCAACTTCCATCCATAATGCCCTATTTGATATAATCATGGAACCTTATAGTTAATAATGATAAGTTCCATTAAGTTCAGTATTAATGGTCAACACTTATCTTTATTTTGTTTTATAAAGTTATAGGTAAAGATCTCACTCTATCATCATTAAAATAATCATTTCTTCAGAATATCAATGTGAAATAATTCAACTTGTTAACTTTTGAATAAAAAACAATATTACGAAATATTGATATTTTAGTAGTAAACCAAGAATATTCTATAAATTCATGCTGTGATATTTATGTGTTAATAGTCATTGAGACTTATATAAAACTAGATTATGTCTGTATAGAAATATAAAAATGTACCAACATTGTTTATAAGTACCAGCATTCGCATAATGTCATTATAATTGTAATTTATCTCTTTATTTAGTTACAAAATTCATAAAGAATATACTTATTAAAAACAATTTATAACTGCCTGTTATAAATTCAAGATTTTCCATTGAACTTGGCTATCCATTTGAAACATTAATTTGAATTTAGAACCTGATCAGAATTTTTCGGAAAGAACATTCTTCATTCAGTTTGTGATTTTATTTAGCTAAAGACTGCCATACAAACTAAGTCAAAATCAGTAATCATGAGAATAAATGAGTTGACTTACGAAAGAGAATGTTTTGAGCAGGCATATAAAATATACTGTTTCGATTACATTTATCAGTATAACGGTCTTTTACACTTAGTTTTCATTCAGGAAAAGTAATAGAATAATATTACTATGATAATTACGGACTTGTAAATTCATTTCCTAACTATTTTATTGTCTTATCAAGTTTTAGTAAAAGCACATAATTTGCATAATGCACCACACATTAGTTTTTATTCACATTGAATTGAGTTGTTCCACAACTTTTAGTTGTTAATTATTCGAAAAGTTAACATGTTAGTTTAAAATGTCTCTTACAGTATTCATGAGAATATTTACTAATACCCAAAATGCAAGTTTGAGAACATAGCAATTTCAACACAACATATCTGTTGGTTAAATAAGAAATGACCATATTAATTCACCTGTATTAATTAGTATTACGCTTTAAGTAAACTACAATACTATGTATATCTAGTTTTCCTAATAATATTTTTAGGACGAAACGAGGAAATGTTATTTTATAGCTTCTCATCAGCTGCAAACAGTCTATAACTACAACAGATAATAAAAATAAGAGTAGAGGCTTGATATACTCCTTGGTTGATGAATTTGAGGCGAAAGCTTGAAGAAAGAAAGCAAACAGGAAGAATATAACAAAAGTCAACCGTTCACACTAATGAGATTAACACATACTTGCAAGGTTAGGCAAGTGAATTCATAAATATTAATAATAGGGAACTTAAACTCTATCACAAGTTGATATTCATTTAAAATCAATTAGTCATATCAGAAACCATGGAAAAGAGATCATGTTTGTGGTTTATCAATAATTCATAGTTTTTCATTATAAAAGCTGAAGATGATGAGCTAATCCATACATAGTGGTAGTTAACTCGAAACAGTTCAATGTTACAGAGCTTTCTTTAGTGTTATAAATTTTTAATTAATATTAGTCACTCCTGAGTTGGATGCTACACATTTCGAGTATGTCCACCCATCACCTACTCCAGGTTATCATATTCACTGGAATGGCAAGCAGCTTACAAAGCGATTAGGGGATCCCATAATCAAATAAGGGATCAATTAATTCAACTGTCGATCAATGAATTGAACTACATTTGGAGTTCCAAACTTCCTGGTTCTGATTCAAAAGGGGATCTTGAGTAATTGCTAGTGACCTTGGGTAATATATTCCAAAATCAGTTGGTTTCTAATTTTCTTATCATTATTTTTATTATTCATACTCCTCCATCCCATTAATTTATTATCAGATTAAATTCCTATGTTTATTTTTCTACTATCATTGATACTTTTTCGATTCCTTTACATTTCTTCTTGTTGATTTTTTCTATAAATGTATTGGTGAAAGTTGTAAAAACTTGGTCTGATACAAGATATTATCAAATCCTGTATGTTTTTTAATTGTTTATTAAGTCACTGATGAATACTATCAATTGAATTTTTACATATTATTATCAAAATAGTAAGATTCTCTATAGTGAGTTAATAAGATATTTTCTTCTTTGATATGTGTATCACAGAAGTTTCCAACATAAATAGTCATGCAAATACTCATTCTGAATAATCAAATTCTAGGCTACAAATACACCTAATTTATAGGCTCAAATAAATTATAATCTAATACAATTTAATGTATAGTAAGTTAAAGAAATATATATTTGACTAATTTTCTTTATCGGTATTTTTCTCCTGTATTTAATTTGTAAAGTTTTAAAAATATGTCTTACATTAACTGTCCTACTCTATTTTTTCATCTTAAGGCTCATGGGGAAGTAAAAGTAATCGTTTACTAAATGTAATTCACAACAGTAATTCAATTTTGTCAGAAAGTGAAAAATCTGACAATGATGCCTCTTCTGTATTTTCAAATGAATCCTTCCATCAGTTTAACTTAAAAAGTAAGTCATTATTTATAAACAAAATATTGTATTATAAGACCAAATTATAGATCAAGCAGAGAATAGAAATACTGATGGAGAGAAACATTCCACAGAATCAGTAAATCATATTTCAATTTTACCTGTCAAAGTAGAAAAACTGAAAATACCAGGTGTATATATAACAAAGGATGAAAAACGCAAAGCTCCTGTAAACAGTGCTAGTTTTGGGAATTCAGAAGATCCATTCAATTTTATTAAACAGGTATTGTTGGAATAAATTGTGTTTGCTGTGTTTTTTTTCTATATTTCCTACACGATGTCGTTTAGAATACTCAGACAGCTTAACAAAACTGAACACTGAAAGTTTCTAAACAAGTAATCCAATAACATTTAGCAGTGAGTTTAGATTCTAATTTTAATTCAAGAATATCTGAGAAAAGCTATTCGATTAAGGAATTTGCAAGACTTCATTTAAAATAGTCAGGATATGTTAAGCCCATACATTTACTACCCACCGTTAAGTCCTGTAGTCCAAGTTGTATAAAAGTATATTACTTTTCACAATTATAAACGACAATCATAACTTTAATAAAACATTTATTAATACCAGTTCAACTGATGCAAACGCATCATCACTTCATTATCCGAATAAACATTTAATGACTGTCTCCTTTTTTATATCTATGATCTTATATTACAATTTACATGTTGTTTGGCATATGATACATGACCCTTGTATTTTTGCTTTTGAGTTATTGTAGCTTCAAAGCACTAACTGTGGGTATTTCATACCTTTTTGTTATTCTTTTTTTTCTACAAAATCTGCAGTTGCTTACTTTAATATTTCTCCATTAGTTTGTTTACTAATAATAATTTTGTTATGAATTAGAAGTTTAAAAAAATGCTAATCTTCAAAACTATCAAGTAATTTTATTACTGTTATTTAATCTTACCGAGATGCTACGGTATTTCGAAGAAAGCCAAGATATTGTACTATGGTGACACCTCAACGTTTTAAAACTGTATATATAAGCATTTAAATTGCTTTATCGATAGCCAGACTTGTGTAAAAACCTGCTATTAGTGTACTCATTGCTTATATCCTGGAATGTTAAAAGAATGTTAGTTATCTAGTTATCATGGCGACTTATGATAAATGAGACTGATGAAGTTAATCACTTCCCGATAAAATTATACGCTGAAAAATCAGATTTCAAGGGTATCTTACAAAATAATTCATGATATAGCTTCAATAATAACACTTTCTGAAGACTGCACAACACTGAATAACACATTACATATATTTATGAGTGACCCAATCTCAAATGATTCATACTCTGAAACGTTTTTTTATATTTTAAGGACTCTGAAGCAAAACGACGTTTGTCAAATGCATTAATCTCCGAGAAACAGTCAATTGTTGATGCATGGATAGACATAGTCTGTCGGTGTACACAATCAAATGTTTCAAACAAAATCAAAGATGAACTTATATCGGATTTAGGTAAACGAGTAAACAACTCTGAAACTAATCGAGAATCGAACAATGGAGTTGAGAAAAAACTATTAGAGGTAAGTAGTTACGTGATAAACTCATTGCTTCTTAATATTCTATTTTACAGCCTTAGCTAAATACATACTGATTGGTTGTCCTTATTTTTTAAAAAAGTAAGTCTGAAATAGTAGTTTTGCAACTCAAATAGATGAGTTTCAACCGTTGACTCACTTGTTCAAAGTGCAATTCACCTAATTCTGGATGACACTCTAATAGAATGCAATCTGTTTGAGAATAGATGGTTAAATTTTATAGATTTGACCGAAAACATAAACTTAACAATTAAGATATGATACAGTTAGCGTTTTCTTTCTTATACGAATGGAACATGAACAACGACTGAAGTGCAATAGTATGAATTCAATATATTTCATGGAGCCTTATTACCTGTTGACAAATTCAGTTGGATCATCAGAGTACAACTATTTATATATATAATATTCCTAGTCATTTTTTAGAAAAGGGCTATTATGGTTACAATTATGCAACATCGTTCATTTTTCAATCTCATTAGGTGTACTTTGTTAATTCAGCTAGGGACTTAATCAGCTGACGCAAAAACTACGGAATCTAAAAGATCCATATTACTCTACTTGATTTGTTTTATTTAGATAAGATTCTGGCTCTAGTAGTTGTTGTGAAATAAGAAAAACATAGTTTAATAACGACCAGTGTTACAAATTTTTGCAAGTTTAAGGCAACAGTTCATGATGCGATATATATTTGTAATTCAGAATACTTGTTATCTTAAAATAAGTGCTACATAAAACAAATCGAAAACGTAAATTTCATAACCATCACATAACAGGCTAAAAAAATACAACCTTGAATTGACAAGAGTTTTTTATCAGTCTGGCAACAAAGTGAGAAGGCAGATAGACTTTAATTTATATATTTATGCTAATGCCAATCGAAAACAGACATATAGCGAATCACAGAAAATCAACTACACAAAACATTTTGCAAAGACTAATCGAACACATAATTTGAAGATCAAGCATATTTTCCGATAAATAAATCCAGAAATATGAAATTCTGTCTAAAAAAGATAAAAAGAATTGAAATGATAAACCAGTGACGAGGTGTAACTACAATTAAACTGTACCTTTAAAATGATATGTTTGTTAATAACAGCAACAAAGAATACAAAATATAGTGTTATTCATACGATACAAAAACTGTTCATTATTTAACTTGATAAATTAATTACGCATTTCATAAGAAATAAATTAGAATCAATGGTCATGAAAGTAGTAACATGAAACCAATGATGAATTGTTTTGAAGTGTGAGATTAACAAATTTCGAAACAATATATATAGGCAAATAAAATGCATTAAGGTTTTTTAGATACATACTTACGCCTGTTACTCATCGCGAAGGAGCATAGGCCACTCACCAGCATTCTCCATCCAACCCTGTCCTGGGCAATCCTTTCTAGCTCCATCCAGTTGTAATTCATCGTCTTCATATCTGCTTCTATTATCCGACGTAATGTGTTCTTTGGCCTTCCACTTTTTCGCTTCCCTTCAGGATTCCAAGTTAGGGCTTGCCTCGTGATGCAGTTTGACGATTTGCGTAATGTATGTCCTATCCATTTCCATCGTCTTTTCCTAATTTCTTCTTCAGCTGGAAGTTGGTTTGTTCTCTCCCACAGAAGGCTATTGCTGATGGTATCCAGCCAGTGGATGTTGAGTATCTTGCGTAGGCAGCTATTTATAAATACTTCTACCTTCTTGATGATGGTTTTTGCAGCTCTCCAAGTTTCAGCTCCGTGCCGTAGAACTAACTGTCTTGTCGTTCGTATTGAAGATTCTCACTTTGATATTGGTTGGAAGTTGTTTTGAGTTCCATATGTTCTTCAATTGTAGGAATGCGACCCTTGCTTTGCCGATCCTCGCCTTTACGTCTGCATCTGAACCTCCTTGTTCATCGATGATGCTTCCTAGGTATGTGAAGGACTCTACATCTCCCAGAGTTTCGCCATCAAGAGTGATTGGATTGCTGTTTTCCGCCTTGAATTTGAGGACCTTGGTTTTCCCTTTGTGTATGCTGAGGCCTACTGATGCAGAGACTGCTGCTACATTGGCTGTCTTCATCTGCATCTGTTCGTGTGTACGTGATAGGAGGGCTAGGTCATCTGCGAAGTCCAAATCGTCTAATTGATTCTGAGTTGTCCATTGTATTCCGTGTTTTCCTTCAGATGTCGAGGTCTTCATAATCCAGTCGACCACCAGAAGAAAGAGGAAGGGAGAGAGTAAACAGCCTTGTCTGACTCCGGTCCTTACTTGGAATACATCTGTCAGCTGTCCTCTATGCACTACTTTGCACTGTAGTCCGTCGTATGAGTCCACTTGTCCAGTTCTTTTTTAGCTTCAGTTTTAAATTGGCTACAACTAGGTGGTGATCTGAAGCTACGTCAGCACCTCTCCTGGTTCTCACATCCTCCATTGTCCTTCGGAATTTTTTGTTGATGCAAATATGATCTATTTGGTTCTCTGTAGTGTGGTCCGGTGAGATCCATGTAGCCTTATGTATACGCTTGTGTGGAAATATTGTGCCTCCTATGACCAATTTGTTGAATGCACATAGATTTGCAAATCTTTCTCCATTTTCGTTTCTTTCTCCCAGTCCATGTCGTCCCATAATATCTTCATATCCGGTGTTGTCTATTCCGACTTTGGCATTTAGATCTCCCATCAGAATAGTTAGGTCCTTTCTTGGGCATTTCTCAATGACTGACTGCAGCCGCTCGTAGAACTGATCTTTAATGTCGTTGTTGCTATCATTGGTGGGTGCATAACATTGGATAATATTCATTAAGATCCCCTCCTTCTTTGTTTCGAATGATGCTTTGATGATTCTGGATCCGTGAGTCTCCCATCCTACGAGTGCATTTCGTGCTACTTTGGACAGCATAAGAGCGACTCCCTGAGTGTGTGGAGCATTGTCCTCTTCGTGACCGGAGTATAGCAGCATCTCTCCCGTAGCTAGCCTTTTCTGTCCAGCTTGGGTCCAGTGGGTTTCGCTGATTCCCAGTACTGCTAAGTTGTATCTCCTCATTTCCATTGCTATTTGACTGGTCTTCCCGGTTTCCCACATTGTTCGAACGTTCCATGTACCTATAAAAATTTTTGCTCTAGTTGTTAGAAGGGGCATCGGCCTCGTGGCTTCCGAAGGAACTCGGCTTTCACCATGAAGCGTCATAATTCTTCTAACTGAAGACCTTCTAACTCCCAGGGCAGAGTTTAAATGGTTTGGATTATTTTTTGTGGTAATCGTTTTTTTAACGAGTTGGTTTTCTACGGGATGGGGACGCTAACCCCATGCCCAACCCTCCTCCTTTACCCAGGCTTGGGACCGGCAGTAACCCTATTAGAGCTGTAGGCGGAGTTGTTTTTTAGATAACTACAATAAATTTCAAAGTCCTACATTTCATTTTCGTTGGATAAAAATAAGATAGCAAAAAAGGTCTCCATTAAATTCCATTGATTGCACTTTCATTTGCTTCAGAAAACTTTAGACTAAATTAGATATCTCGTTTATTTTATTCTTCATCGATAATTACAAATATATTTTCAGTTTAATGATCTATATTATCACTTTACGTTAAGCAGAGACGAAAAACCTGTTCGAATTTCATGCAGAAATTCAGAATCATTGTGTAAGGTTTAAGCAAAATAAAAAGGATTTACTCTTTAGATCACTAACTCTCACTTGGTAGCTGATTGAAAACAGGAACTCTGATTGCCCTGAACTAGATATACATAATATGATACGTCGTGAATAACTTCAAGGCAACTCCCGATTAAAATATATATGACAGAGAACCATGTTACAGAGATGATTTTGAACAAATTCTCTATTTCAAGAACATGTCGACCGAAAATAATTTACTAACACACGCTCTTAGTTACAACTAATAATAATAATGTGAACACAATTCGAAACCTAATCACTCTGGAATTGTGTTCACACCATTATTACTCTTATTATTATCCTTATCTCCACTTACCTCATTTCCAGTCTAGTTGACCTTTTATTTTTATATATAAATGCTCATAACAAGTATATGTGTGATCAGATTGTTCGAAATGCACTGCGCTAATATATCACATAATTCCGATAATCTTCTTCTTCTTGTTACATTATCGAAGTTTATCAAGGGGACTAATTGCTTTAAAAATACTGTCCTTGCCTTGCCAATCCTCACCTTCACTTCTGCATCTGATCCTCCTTGTTCATCGATGATGCTGTCCAGGTACGTGAACGTTTCTACCTCTTCCGGGGTCTCTCCATCATGTGATTGGGTCGGTGCTCTCCATGTTGTATTTGAGGATCTCGGTTTTCCCCTTGTGTATGTTGAGGCCCACTGATGCAGAGGCTGCTGCTACACTGGTTATCTTGACCTGTATCTGTTGGTGTGTATGGGATAGAATGGTCAGGTGATCTGCGAAGTTCAAGTCGTCTATTTGCATGTAACCTGTCCATTGTATTCAATGCTTTCCTCAGATGTCGAGGTCTTCATAATCCAGCCAATCACCAGGAGAAAGTGGAAGAGAGCGAGAGAAAGCAACTTTATATGATACCGGTCCTCACCTGGAATGTGTCTGTCAGCTGTCCTCCACATATCACTTTGCAGTGTAGTCCTTCGTATGAATTCCGGATGATTTTGGCGATCTTCTCAGCTACTAACACCGTAGTGTCGAAGAAGGTTCCATGAAAATCTATTTAGGCAACCAAATACTTTCTCATAGATAAGCAAGTTGATGTACAGTCACGAATTCAATTCAATTGATTGTTTAACGGTGATCCGTAGTGTCGCCATTCAGCCTGTGCACGACCGAGCCTCACTGAATCTGGTTTGTTGATCTCAAAGTTGGGCGTCAACTAAATATTTCATCCAGTTCAGACGCATTCTATTTAAAACTTTCCTGGTACCGATAGTAGTGTGTTGCCTCTGTAGTTTCCACATTTGTTCAGATCATCTTTCTCTGGTATCTTGATAAGATATCCTTCTTTCCAGTCTGTCGGTGATATTTGTTCTTCCTCCCAAATCTTCCCGAATAGAACGTTTGCGATTATTTCTATGTCTGACTTAAGTGCTTCAGATCGTATATTGTCAGGTCCTGCTGACATCACACTCTTTATTTTGTCCTATGACCAGCCTGATTTCTGCGATCGTTGGTGGTTTGACATCTACAGGAAGGTCTTTGTGTGCTGATTCGATATCCGACAGAGCCGGTTTATTCAGGAGTTCCTCGAATTATTTTTCCCATCCGTTCATCCGTTTTTGAATCTCGGTGATCGGGTTACCTTCTTTGTCCTTGATCGGTCTTTCTCGTTTACTATTTTTCCCCTCTAGTTTCTTCGTCGCGTCATATAGATGTCTCATGTTTGCTGTTGCGGCGTTTTCCGCTGTCGTTGCCAAATCTTCCACCTATTTCTGCTTATCATCTCTAATGCTGTTTTTACTTGTTTGTTTGCTTCTGTGTATTCAGATTTTGCCTTCATCTTCTCTGTTCTTGTTCGGCTGTTGTTAATTACTGTCTTTTTCTTCGTTTCTTGAATCTTGTGCAGGATTTCCATAGAGATCCATTCCTCATGGTGATCCTTCTTGATTCCCAGAACCTCTTGACACGTTGAAGTTCGTGCTCCTTTGATCCTTTTCCAGTTGTCTTCCATAATAGTTTATTCTTCTTTCAGTAGATCTTGTAAGGCTTGTAACCTGTTGTTGAGAGTTATCTTGAATCCGTGGAGTTTGTCAGTATGTCGAAGGAATACTGTATTGAACTTTTGTAATGCTGTTTGTCCAGTTGTCTAGTGCTTCTCTAGCTTCAGTTTTGTCTTAGCATGGGTCCATGATATTCCCATCCTATAGGTGCATTTTGTGCTTCTTTGGATAGCATCAGAGCAACTTCCTGGGTGTGTGGAGCATTTTCTTCTTTGTAACCAGAGTACAACAGCATCTCTTCCCAATATATATCTTTCTGTCCAATGGGTCTCACTGATTCCTAGCACAACTAAATTGTTTCTCCCTATTTCCACAGCTATTTGGTTGATATTATCGGTCTCCTACATTGTCCGGACATTCCATGTACCTATATTAATATATTTGCTCTGGTTGTTAGAAAGGGCATCGACCTCGTGACTTCCGAAGAATCTCGGCTTTCATAATGAGGCGTCATAATTTTTCTGAATGATGACAATGTTTAAATGGTTTGATTTGTTTATCCCGGTTAGCATTTTTTAACAAGCTTGTTTTCTACGCGATGTGCATGCTAACCCCACACTCAACCCTCCTCTTTTGTGGGATCTTGGGACCGGCAGTAACCCTAGAAGAACTACAGACGGAGTTGTTTAATGTTATTACATTGATAATATGTGGAAGTCCAATTTCAATGATATAGTCTCAATACCATTCCACCTTTTATTAAGCAGTTTTCAACAATTATATGTAAATTTTAGCCTAATTAATTACGAAAGTCAAAATAAAGCCAGTAGCTTATTCATGGATAGTCACTTTTAACTTTAAATGTTTTTACTAATTCAATAAACTGTATTCGAAATTCAGATAATGTAATGAGAAAGCGAAGATTATCAGAACTAGATTATATATATTAGGTACAATACATTTGCAATATATAACCAATATTTTTGCTGTACTTTCCTGAAGAAAAATCAGACAACTAGACTTTTTTGATAAAAAGTAATAAACAGTAATATTTTATTTCTATAAATGATATGGTACTTCATACCTGTTACAACAGTATGAGGACAAGGTGGATATATTTGCCATTAAACAATGTTTTCTCAATGAATTGTAACACTCGTTTCAGCAATAATTTCTTGCCAGTCCTAATTTTCCTAGCAAGTAAACAAAATTAACGAACATTATACCCCTTTCATAGAGGAACACTTAATGTTTATTGGATATCCATTCATCCAAACCAGTTATTGCATAGGCATTAAGGCAGAAGATTCTGAAATACTTATCATTAACTTGTATTTCTAACTTACGGTGTATAGTAATAAGGGTTTTGAATGATGTTGTAATCAAATGTTACCATCATTTGGACCACACCTGAAGATCTGGAAGTATTATACACCTGTCTCGTCCTGTTGCGGGACCACTCGATTGATTCACAGTCAACATACACTAACCGGTTGTCCAAAATTTACTGTCAACCAAATCATCGAAACAGAATTATTAATCAAAGTCTTTAATCGATGATGACGTAATGTATCTCATGACATGAATTGAATCGACGATAGTTATATGTCTCGAAACAGGTCATTTTTTCAACGTAACGACCCCATGTGGGATAGAATCTTAAGCCCTCAGATGTTATGATGAACACCTAACTTCTGAACCACTGGGACTAATTTCAACAGGAAATTCGCAAAGTTATAGTGAAGAGTTGTGACCAGTAGAGTTTAAATATTTCAGGTTTGAGGAAGTGGTCACTCACCGAAAATAATCGAAGATGGTTAGGTAGTATCAAAAATTGATTCATTTAGATGTGTAAAATGTTGGATACCGACTCAGTAGTCTAGAGGTTAAGCTATCACCTCGAGACTTGAAGATCATGTGTTCGATCCACTGTAATGATGTAGTAAGTAATCAACTATGAGAAGGTTCACACTTGGATAAAACAGCTATCCACTGTTTCCTGGTTTTCAGTGTAAATTTAACTTAGACTGATTCATGATCTCAGTGACGTATAAACTATTTATTTGTCTTACGTTTAATTTGTAGTAGAAAAATAATGTGACAATACTATGGTAACATTTAATTGACACTGAGTTTGATGTTCACTTCACTTCAAAACAGTTTACCATTTTCTTATGTTCTATATCCGTTTTTTTTTGGCATTCGATTATAAAATCAGTTTGCACAAATTATATCAAGCATGTAATCGATTGAATAGTAATCTTATATATTGACGGAAAAGTAGTCACTGTGTAAAAAAATGAATATTGTATAGAAAGAATACTTAACATATGATTTAGTTGTTACTGTTTACTCTATTTTCTGTTCTATGATCACTCTATGACTATTTGTGAAAAAAACACATGCAGAGACTATTGTTCACAAATAATATGTGAACAATAAAAACAGTTTTGATTGATATTTCGATAAATTCGCTCATTTGACTGGTAACTTTTTTGGTCGAATTATCATTGAGTAACCACAAAATAGAATAACCAAGAGAAGTTGTCTCTAACCTCACTATTGAGATTTATCAACAAAATTACTAAGTGATTTATTCCCTCATTAGCCAAATTCGATAAATACGGGAATCAGATTGTAATACCTTTTATAGGTGACCAAAATATTAAACGTCTAACTTTTAAGATTACCTTAAACCCTTTATCTAAACAAGGTCCAACAATCAAACTCATTACTGAATTTAATCATAAACATTGATAAATCAGTGGTTTGTTCAGCAGTTATCAATAATAATTCAATTTTATTGGAAACATTGTGAATCATGGTCAGTTATTTAAATGGTTAGACAAAGTGATACTTTGGCAATCATGTTACAGAAATTGTAGGAGTATTTAACGGGAAGATTATGAGTTATATGGATCTAATAATGAACTCAATTCACTTTAGACAGCTCGTCAATAAAATTAAGTCATCTTCAAATAAAGTGTCATACATTGGCTTCTTTTTAGTGAACTAATTACACGCTAACTCATTAGTATATGGGTTTTAGTTGCTACCTTAATCCTAACGTTTCTAAGTAACACCGAATGGTATGGGTTGAAACACTAAATATGAGTGTTTTTCAAGGTTTTTTCAATATTTCCCCATTGTACAGTCCCGATATTTCTCAACAATTTATTTAAATATCAAAATGAGCAGATAAAATAATCTTAGTCGAGGTTTAAACTGGCTTTTGTAATAGTCTGTTCATGAATATTACCCTGACCTAAAACAATTTATAGTTTAACCAGTGTTCATATTTTTAGTGTCTTTTAGATATGATAACTGATAGTTTACACGGTGGGATTTGTTGGTCTCAACTTGTTAACTACCTTAAAATTCCAGCAAATAAATGTACAACTGAAGGATTGACTGACTCCATCAACGGCATATCGGGCGATACGAATAAACTCGCAGTGTTGTCAAGTTTGAAACGTTATTCAGTGGCTGGCGAAGATTTAGGAGGACGATTTTTAAAATTGCTACATTCTTCAAAGATATCTGAACAGAATAATGCATGTCTTCCAGTGGGAACGCCATTAGTTTGCAATTATTTGCGAGTAGCTTTGGCAGCACTCCCAAGTGTTATTGCTGCACCTTTGCTCCGTCAAGTGAATCGTCCACATGAAGTATTAGCATGGGAAAAATTGATCAAAGATGCTATCACTTCAGCAACCAATCAAATTAGCAGTAAGTATGTTTGAAGCATGTTGTACTAAGAAAAATTTCTTTCATCAGCCGAAAGATCCCCTAACCTGTACCGTGAGCAATGCTGCCTGAATGCGGAAAAGTTATTAGTATGGAGTTCCCTTTCCCTTATGACTCGGATTCGTATAAATACAAAATTGTTCAACACTATCTAGTCCCCTCTGTTTCCACAGATGACTTATCAATAAAAACGACTTTGAAACTACGATACCCTTAAATATCCTAACACAATAATAATTTTCTTCCAATTATTTTTATGAAAAGAATATTTTATAATGTACCCCAATTATAATACTTATGGATGGTTTAATCCTATCTATTACATTGGAATGTGTTCACTAATCTAAGTGACTTTATGTTAGAAATGTACATACTCTTGGACTTGATCGTTAAAAACTCGATAAAGTGAAAAGAGTTTACTTTTGCAAGTAGATAACTATAACAATAGCAGATTCCAAACAAGAACCCATGTTACTGAGCACAGTTACGTTCTTACCTAGTCACCGTAACTAAATATTTTATCCAGAAATTACATATGGGCATATGACTCGATGCCAATGTATAGAGAGGAGCGCTAAATAAAGTAGTATTTTATGCCCAAAACACGATTAGAAAGATCGTGCTCAGCAAACTGATTTTCATAAATTCATTCTTTGTCTAACTTACTAAAACCCACCACAGATTAATTAGTGATTTATCATATAGAACAAACTCACCAATATCATAAAGAAAAAAAACCATAACTATCGAAATTGTGGGATTTCTTCCCCAAAAGTTTCATAAAATCTAGACCCAAAGCTTTCGATTTATTGATTTCAAACAATATATACTGAGATATCATATAATTTATCTTGTTAACCAGATAAAATACTGTGACACCCCTATGATTTTCATCAAGTAACACTGGTTTCAGAAGCTTTATAGGGGTTATACATGCATAACATACAGAAATGGATTCATTTTGGTGATTAAATCGAAACGGACAAAATGAAGAATTTGTTAAACTTTCTTGGTATTTAATGGTTTGCAAATTCTGAATGTCTTTTTTTATGTAAAAAGAATTTCTTTAATAAATAACTTTGCCACAATTGATGAATATTTTCGATTTTCCTAAAGATTTAGCCCCAATAAGTACAGTTCACTTACGTCGTCATCAAACATACTCAGCACAGCACAATCGTAGACTAGTTAAACAAGTCACCACGGAAGCTGATCTTGACTCGCCAACATATATTCGTCAGTCGACTCCTTCGAATAGACCATTTACCATGGTCTCTATGTCACCTAGCCTCTATTATACACCAAATGATTCAATTGTGGATGAAACAAAGAAGGTTACAAACAGTTTATCTTTATCACAGAAATCATTAACCTTTTCAAACGAAGCAATTCCTGAAGAACCAATGGAAATTATCCAGTGCGCACGGAAATTCGCAGGTGTTCAATCAAGTGCTCCTTTGTGTCATGTTAAATCAAGGACTAGCAAAACACTAGATGAATTGGTAAATCACGAGAATTCTGCTAATGGTCTAGTAGACAAGTGAGACAGATTTTATTATATTCTCTGATGAATTTGTTTGGAAATAATACTATTAAATTACTAAACTTATTGTAAGTGAACAGTAACACTAAACTATAAATTTAACTAATGTTCATGACAATTATATTAAAAAATAGTAAACAACAGTAAGAAAGGTGTGCTGAAGATAAATCTAGAACTAGTTAAGTTCCGAAACTGGAATATAAAGAGAAACAAAACAATAGAAATGATCTAATTCATAAACTTCCATACTTCTGATATCAAAAGTATAAACGGTAAATTTACCAAAAAGGATGACAAAAGAATTGGAATATTTGATTGCTAAATAAGCCAAACATTTCATACGACTGAGCGGAAAATAAATGGTACATGATATTTGTCACTAATATCAACCGAATTTATCAGCTCAACGTAATTCTGTGTTAAATGTTTAAAGTAATGTCTACTTTCATTAGATGAACGATCAAATAATTATTTAGAACACTCAGGGTATTATCAAATTGTCAGCATGGGGAAGTGGAGACGATTGAGTAACATTAAATTCACAAATTGTATAAGACAGAGAACTATTCAAAACCTGGAAGCACTGAATGACCGCTTCGTTTAAGTATGGGACTCCTTAAAAGTGAACAACCGCGACCTTGAAGCCAGGAGTTGAACCCAGCACCTTCGGTCTAGTAAGAATGACTAACCTCTAGATCACTGAGTCGGGACCCAACGGTGTACAAATCAAACTTCAATCAATCCGCGGTATTGAGCGACCCTTTCCAACTGACTTCGATGGGCACATTCGTCACATCTGACACGGCTGAACTCCACCGGTCATAGCTTTTCACGAGGAAATTTACGGATTTTTTTGTCAGAAGTCATGACCAGTGAAGTTCAATTGTGATTTCAGTGAAATATCAATAAATTTTGATTTCACAATTTTTTCTTCATTATTGAAGTATAATATTATCAGACGTTTTGTCAGTGTACAAATACACAAAAGCAGATTCTCTACTATAAGCTTTTGAGCATTTATTTTTACAAATAATCAGGACGTTCTGTCTCATATATATATATATAATCCAAAAACATTGGTATCTATACAGTTACCACTATAGATCAACTTACCGATCGATGAATAATCTACACCAATAGACTGTTCCTTATTTGTAAATTATTCTGTATTCAGATTTTGGTACCATATTGTATAAGTGTCTCAAAATAATTTCCACTATTAAATACACTACATACACTACTTACTAATGAACCTCATGTATAACTTTAAATAAGTAAATCTATGATAATACACATAAAATCACAGTAAAACGTAATAGTAGAGCCAAGCAGGAAGTTATTTTAATGATCTTTAACATAAAATCCAATTAGAAATATCAATATATACAAACAGTCTTTAGGGAAATTGTCACTGAACCATGATTGTGTGGTTTGACTCCAAATAAAAACAACCATCTAAACATTCGATTTATGTGTTCCAAATTGAAAGAAACCCTGATACTACATTTTAACTACTAGCAGCAATTATAGTACTGGTGTATAAAAAAAACTTCTAGTGCTGGGGAAATAGCCAACAGAATGTCAAACGCTCATAGAACATAATGATCGGAAACCAGGAGATAAAATAATTTCTAAGATAAATATTCAATTAATAGTGTATATGAATATCAGTTTTATAAATTTTACTGAATACTGACTGAAATTTCATGTTTCTATAAAACCAACCTCATATAACTTCGAATTGCACACCTTTCGTATAAATATGCATACACATTATTTTTTATTTTCAGTTCAATGTACAATATCCTCGGACATAAATGCAAGTTTCGAATAATAGTATTTATTATTATATTTGTGCTTTTATGTAGATTTTAGCCTAACACTAACTTCTAAAAAATACTATAAATGTCATCATCAAGCTTCAATAAATATGGTTTATTGAAAATCTCTTGGTAGATACTTATAAGTAGAGTTAGTTTACAATAAGTTTTAAACTATTATGGTACACAAATTTTACATCAAATTATCAATACTTCTTCACAGTATATGCGTATTTACAAACGTAATAATTACAGAACTTGAGGAGTGTATTTTGACCCACTGAATACAGATGGTTTCTGTTGAATGCAGTCAACGCATAACTAGACCCCACTTTTATTAATTCTTAATCTAATTTCAACCAAATTTATCATCAAATTATTCCTTATGATGCTTCAAACCAAGATGAATAACTCAAAATTATAATCAGACATCGTTATACATAATTAATAAACGAGTGCTCAGTGGCAGAGTTAGAAATATGAGTATATTTGCAACAAAAAATCACTTCACTGAGATACACAAGTTTTGAATTTCTTGATCCACGCAACTGACTACTCTCATTCAATAATGAAAAATACACTTTCTGTAATCGATATAATTCCATGAGGTTATTCTGAAATTCTAACTGAAGCAAAGCTAAGTTATGAGACGATTCAATTCAGAAACTATTTTCAACCATCCCCACAAAAATGATCAAATTATATGATCTAAAACCGCTATATAATGCAACATGACAAAGAAATATGTAATATAAATTTTAAATCGTTAAGCACTGGACAAATCCACATTCCGACGTGAAATATAGATACCAAATGAAAGTAATTTCTGAACATTTTGATAGTCCGAATACAAACGAACCGAGCATCTGTTTGTCAATGCATCCAATTTGATAGATTAAATGTTTTTTGGCATAGAATTTTGGTCAGTTACATTAATTTACTAGTAGAGACGAGTTATTATTTCATAAGGACCTTTATTTCTGAAATAAACCATTCTTTAGTTGACCAAATAAACATTTGACTCTTCTTAATAATGGAACATTACCAATTTTCAAATATAATTCACAGATTTGAAAACTGGATTCAGTACACTAGACGATTGGTTTAAAGACCTCCGGATACCCGATGAAGACCGTGCCAAAGTTAGTAACTTATTGATACTTGTCCTAGTCTAATTCACATTTTTCCCCAAAGATATTAATTTCATTCTTTTAGCACAGACTTTTGATGAGCATACCCCAATGTTTAATTCGTCAGCAGAAATAAACAAATACTCATGGAGTGACTGGCTATAACGCCGTCTGCATCCCAGTTTAATTTTATCTGAGAAATGACAGAAATGTCTGGCATTTTCGATCAATCATTTTTTCGATTGAAAAAGTCCTTATAAATAAACCTGACAATTGAAAGATCTTCAGATGTAGGGATTTACGGAGCGTTTAATGCACGTAAGCACAAAAACCTAGTTTAAGAATGTAAAGCGAAGTTATTCAGTCCGTTTATGAATTGTATGATTCCAATTAAGTGGTTAATCACGATCTTTTGTCACGTACATGAAAAGGTAATTTGTTATTTATCAACAGACTAACAACGGTAAATAGAACCCAAGACTACAAACGGACATGATGTCCAAAGATCAGACTGGGAAGTCAGATCTTAAGTGCCTGGAAAATAAGTGACCTACAAGTTAGTTTCTTCCAACCATTCAATAGTTCACTTGGTATTGTTTGACTTGTATCTCCCCATTGAGGTTTAAGACTGCAATTGGTCAGTCTCTTATTGGCATATGTGCATACTGTGCGTATGCCTCGATATTGCCTTAATTTACAAGCATTATAAGCAAAGATGGATAGTGGCTAGCAGTGGGATCCAGGACGCGCGTTTCGTCCTGTTTGGGACTCGTCAGCTGGATGTACCTGCATCTCAAAGTTGATGTTCACTCTGGGACTCGAACTCAGTACCGTTCGCTCCAAACGCCATCGAGTTATCCACTTAGCTACTGAGTCCTGATAGCCACTTGCTTGTGCAATGGGGTGAAGTTTAATTCACTTGATATTGTTTTACTTGAATCTTCCCATTGATGTTTTAGGACTGAAATTGATCGGTCTCTTATTGGCATATGTGCATTTATTATATTTTTTATACAAACACATCATTTTATTACTTGGAAAATCTATTCAATTGACTGGTAATAGTCTTTTTTATATTTCTAATCGTTCAAAAACTTAAGTCAATAAATAACAAGGTTTCGTGAGTCACCATCAATCAGCCACATTATATCATATCCTATCCACCGATCGATTAGCGTCCTATTCATTGATTTTGATGATTGAAAATCTCGCCCCATCAAATCACTAAAAACATTCTCCATAACACAAACGTACAACTTTAATAAAACCTCCGACTTGACCTCCCTCCGTAAAACAATCATTGGAAGTATGTCAAGTATCTAAAATACTTAACCACTAATATTGGTGTAGTTTACTTTCAGCCGCTAAATAAGTATGAATTGTAATCATAAAACAGTGGTGTTAAAAATTTTGAAGACAAAGAAGATTGGCATTTTCAGCCAATAAAAAGTAATTGCAAATCCCAGATGAAGTAGAGGCAAAAACATCCTATAACTTCACTGTAATTCTAACAAAAAATGTGTTTCCAATAAATAACGAAATCACTAACATTTATTGTGACATACGTAAAATAATTAAATCTTTTTCAGCTTCGTCGGAATCACATTGTTGATGAAGAAGACTTCTTAGATGCTATAACGAAAGAAGACTTGTGGAAAATGAATTTAAGGTAGGTTTGATCATGAATGCTGAAGCATGATTCTAGATGTAGTTAGTTTTAGAATTACAGTTAAAGCAATTCTATTATATCATCGTTGAGAAAACGAGGCTGAGCAGAAAATATAAGGTTTATTTGAGCAAGAGATATCATGCAATCTGATCACATATATACTTGTCAAGACACTTACATAGAAACTAACATGATCAGTCAGATGAATGGTCAAATAAGCACAGTGATAAGTGAAAATATAAGAAGAAGATGAGATGGTACACCGCCAAATGCATCAAGGATTATCAGGCTAGATTCGAGATGAGAACAAATGGTACTTGTAAACGTGAAGAAAGTTTAAATTACCTAATATCAGCTTGCAAGTAACTAGACGACTTGAACTTCGCAGATCACCTGACCATTCTATCCCATACACACCAACAGATACAGGTCAAGATAACCAGTGTAGCAGCAGCCTCTGCATCAGTGGGCCTCAACATACACAAGGGGAAAACCGAGATCCTCAAATACAACATGGAGAGCACCGACCCAATCACATGATGGAGAGACCCGGAAGAGGTAGAAACGTTCACGTACCTGGACAGCATCATCGATGAACAAGGAGGATCAGATGCAGAAGTGAAGGTGAGGATTGGCAAGGCAAGGACAGTATTTTTAAAGCAATTAGTCCCCTTGATAAACTTCGATAATGTAACAAGAAGAAGAAGATTATCGGAATTATGTGATATATTAGCGCAGTGCATTTCGAACAATCTGATCACACATATACTTGTTATGAGCATTTATATATAAAAATAAAAGGTCAACTAGACTGGAAATGAGGTAAGTGGAGATAAGGATAATAATAAGAGTAATAATAGTGTGAACACAATTCCAGAGTGATTAGGTTTCGAATTGTGTTCACATTATTATTACTCTTATTATCCTTATCTCCACTTACCCCATTTCCAGTCTGGTTGACATTTTATTTTTATATATAAATGCTCTTAACAAGTATATGTGTGGTCAGATTGTTCGAAATGTATTGCGCTAATATATCACATAATTCTGATAATCTTCGTCTTCTTATTACATTATCGGAAGGACAGTATTCCTACATTTGAAGAACATACAGAACTCAAAACAATTGTCATCAATCTCAAAGTCGGAGTCCTCAATACGAACGTCAAGACAGTTAGTTCTACTGTATGGAGCTGAAAATTAGAGAACTACCACAACCATCATCAAAAGGGTACAAGGACTCATAAACAATTGTCTACACAATATACTAAATGTCCGTTTGACGGATATCAGCAACAGCCTACTGTGGGAGAGAACAAACCAGCTTCGAGTTGAAGAGGAAATTAGGAAAAGATGTTGGAAGTGGATAGGACATACATTACGGAAATCATCAAACTGCATCATGAGGCAAGTGCTAATTTGAAATCCTGAAGGGAAACGGAAAAGAGGAAGGCCAAAATACACACTGCGTCGGGAAATGGAAGCAGGTATCAAAAGGATGAATAGTAACTAGAAAGGATTGTGCAGGACAGGTTTGGATGGCGAGTGCTGTTGGGCGGCCTATGCTCGTCGACGAGTAGTAACAAAATTAAGTAAGTATAGGAATAACTAGTCTGTCTTTACATGAGTATGAAGGAAGAGATTGAGCTAAGTTAAGATCTAGTATTTATTGAGTTAGGACAATCTAAAAACTTTGACGGATAATAAATAAACTATTTTATTACTGTAACTGGGTAAATGAAAGCATGATACTATCAAAAATGTCATATAATCGTGGAATTATTTGCGATGTGCTCGTGACGAACGGCATTTGAAACACCATTCGGCAAGTAATACAGCATAAGCATGTAAAAGCAAAACAGTACTAACAACAGGCTTTCTATGTGTCCAAATTTAACTGATGGCACTTTTGTTTTCACAATCATTTCAGTGGTGGGACAGTGCTTCGCCTTTGGAGAAACATACAGAAAATCCGTTCAATGGAATAATGTCTTCATGAAAAATTTCATGAACTCTGGTTACAATTCTTCTACAGAGCCTATATTTTTACAAAGACATTTTATCTCACACCTTGATACCAAAACCTGAAATGTGCCTTTATTTTATAGTAGTATTTTAAAACCCATAATGCTCAAATATCAAAAAAAGTTACACCGGATGCAGCTTAAAATACTGTTTGATTTTTAATAAATGTCTTGTCATTGGTAAACTATGAAAACATAATAGAAAGTCTCCATCAATGTTTTATTTAAGCAGTAAACATATATGATGTTTTATACACTGATATATTTTTAGCATTAACACATGGAAATTTAGGTTATCATTTGATTATGATTTGTTAATTGAATGGAAATATTGCTAGGACGATAGCTGTAAACAAACTGCAAATCAGGGAACAAATAGTACAAAACACTAGAAAATAAACATTGAATCATTGTTATACGATGCAGAAATCAAGGGAAAACAACCTGAAACCTAAGAAAGTTTCACGTCATTATTGAATATAACAATTCATGGCTATTAAACAGTACGTGTTAACGAGACAGAGTTGTGTAGTGGTTGTATTTCTTCAACATAATCCAAGCCTAAGCTCTGTTCTGAATCAACAGTTTGGTCGACTGTATCATCTGCCACCTAGAAAGAAAAAACAATGAAATATATACACGGTTGAAGACTTTGTATTGGGTGAGATGAAATAATTCAGCAAAAACAATAGGCATAGACTGATGACCAATATCAAACAATAATAAACATTAAAAATGAATTCGACATATCGACTATTCCTATAAAATAGACACGAATAGGATTAGTCTCTTGCTATCGAGAGAAGCATGGTAATTTTCAGACATGGCCAATTTACCTGCAAATCTCAATTCATCTGTTAAGGTCGAAAAGTTGAATAATCAATTTATTCTCTAGAATTAGTATATTACTGCTCCTAGTGGAGAAGATTTGTAGCTCAGGTGGATGATCTTGATGGAGTTTTATTCTCTGAGCTGGATGGTTTGGTCGTGGAGCTTCCAACCAAAACAAAGAAGTAAACAATGACAAATTTAAGGTCAATAAGAACCTATCAATATCTAGGTGCACAGAACAAGCTGTGAAACGCATATGGAGAAATTCGAACACTTCACTTCTATCTGAAGTTTGTGCTGATGTCGTTCAGAAAAACGATGAAATCTCCACGACCAAACCGTCCAGCCCAGAGAACAAAACCCCATCAAAATATTACTGCTCCACAATAAGTTTTAAGATTCAAACAATCAAATCATCTTTGGGACTTACTGTAAACATCCGCCCGCTAAACAGTCAGAGACAAACCACGTTCATGATCAACCGGCCAGATATTAATACTTCATTAGGTTCCGGTACACAGGCATGACACTATCCTTGACCTAGGGTATACATTCGAGATTCAGGCCAACACACACATCAAACACGATTCGGTGATTCAGAATCGATGTCGCAACATAACATCCAATTACAAGGATAGGATCTATCGAACCCATAGGAAACATTTGTCATATCAGACAAGCAAAAATTTACAAAAACGCTAAAGATTCTACGTTTAGTTAAAAATCCGGCAAGAGAATCCAGTGAAATAAAGCGTTGACACTAGATGGACTTTTTGTAGGCACATTTAATAGGTATCACCCATGATTACTGTAATTTCACCAAAGCTACCATTCTAATACATTCTTTTATCAGGCTATACATTAAAGGGAACCAATATTACTTTATACTTGGTCCTGCACTGTTCCAGATGGATTGATGAATGGAAACTGTAAATGTTAGACACAGAAACAGTGTTTTATGTTCAAAATGTCCTTAATTTGGATTTTCACTAAGATTCTGCCAGTCTGTTAACTGTATAATTGAATTGGGCCAAAAATGTGGGACTGATCTATAACAAATACGTGACGATACTTCATTGATGACAACCACATGAACTCAGGAGGACAAGAATTTCAAAACAGATATCACGCTTCAAGAAAATATAATTATATGCATAAACATCACAGTATATATGGTATTGTACAATAGAAAGCGACCAAATATAATAGGTTGGAATTACATGACGTTGCCAAAACACAAGGTTCACAATAATATCGAGGTATGGAAAGCTTACGGTAATAGATACTGTTATAGCAACACCAAAAGGTGTTGACCCTAATAGATTCTCTACTAGTCAACAGGTATGATTGTGAAGGGTATTCCAGGATATACACCAGAAAAGTATTGCATAACCACAACCACCCTCAATAAAATATCGTAAATACGTCTACCAGTTTGAAATGTTAAGTTGAAAAGTCTCCCAACACGGAAAGATAGGGATACACGCCATCGCCTCTTCGTCATATCTGCCTGCGCTCCCACTAACTACAGTCCGGATAAAGTAACAGATAGGTTTTATAGAAAGCTTTCTGCTCTCCTAAAAAACCAAACTATTGGGCGTAGTGATAACAGCAGGAGACTTTAGCGCCAAAGCACTTGGTTTAAATCGAAGTGAAAGACGCTTACGTGGGTTTCACAGTGTCGCAGCTCAGAGAATAGGCAACGACGATCGGCTGCTGTAACTACGTTCAGACAACTATTTATTCCTATTAAGCACCATCTTTAAGCATTAAGAGACACTGTCAGCCATGGAGACCCCCGCACTCGACTCAGCGATAGACGTAAATAGACCATATCGCCATCAGCCATTGTCGGAAAGGCTCGATAGAAGACCGCCGCTCATTCTGAAGAATATGTCTAGATCATGCTCTGATACTGACAAATGTCTGTTTGTAACAGACTGAATGCAGAAAAACCATAGCAAGAAAACTCCTTCAAGTTCAACTTAACGACGAAAATGTCAAAAGAATATTTCATAAACAAATGGGGAAGCAGTTGGGTGATCGCCAAAGTGACCTATGTTCACCTTGATGTGGGTTGGGATGATATCCAGACAGCTGTGAAAATATCAGTGATATCTGTGGGTGACTATAACCAAAAGATAAGGAAAATCAGTGGATTTTAGTATCATCTACTTAAATGATAGATGCTCAAAAACTCATCCCATTAGGCTTCAAATATGATGTGGAGCAAAGACAACTCAGAGTTTACGTAATGATCGTGAACAGTGGTGCGAGGATAAGGCAAGAGCGACAGGAAAGACGGTGGCGATATGCATCAGTTGATAACTTTTAAGATATTAAAGAAACAGGTATCAAATATTCGGGAGTCACCAGGGCTATTTCTGAAAAAGATGAAACAATGATTTACTATCAACCCTGGGGACTGAGACGATGGGTAGGAAAAGTTTAACTGCTTTACATTCACCCTTCAGTTACCTGCTTTTACCAAGCAACCTAACTGGAATGTCAACATAAGCCTCCGACTCTCAAAGAGGTGAAATTCAAAACTAATCTAAAAGAGACAGCAGCAGGCCCTGATGGATTAGCCCCTGAGATTTTTAAGTATGGTGGCCCAGTTTCAGCAGTTAGATTGACTGAGTCCTTAGCTAGAATCTGGAGAATGAACTTAATCTCATATAACTGGTCTCAATCGCCGATCGTCCCAGTCTATAAGAAAGGACAAAAATCCTCTAGTGACAATCACAAAAGAATCAGTTTGGTTAATACAGTGCCTAAAATATTACCCTCAACAATACTTTGACGGCTAACTAGAGCCCGTAAAGAGCGAACTCGAGAAAACCAGGTTAGTTTTAGACCTGGACATAGATGCATGGAGCAAATATCCGCGCTTATCCAGGTTCCGGTGCACGAACATACCCACCGACTCGCAATCATAGCTACATTTCTCAACATAAAGGCAGCATTTGATTTTGTAAACCGAGAGATTTCATGACAGTGTCTGACATTGAAAGATGTACCATAGAAGAACATTACCTTGTACAGGCTCTCTATTCGAACACTACTGGTCGAATAAGAGTTGTCATCAGAATTTATTACTGGAAATGTTCTTCCGGGTTATCTTTTTTCCTCATTTTTGTCTTCGTCACAGAAATGCTTTTAGAAGTACCTCTCTCGTCGTCTAACTTTCAGGGGTTGATATACCAGGACATTAACTTGTTGACCTATAACACGTAGGTAATATAGTTCTGTTTGATGAAGACACTGACAAAATGCAGTCTTCTGACCACCTTAAGCAACAATGCAACCATAATTGGGATGAGGTCCTCTCTCTCTGTCCAAATGTAAGATGTTACTTCAGGATTATTTATTTATTTGAACACATAAATATTGATAAAAGGAGGCACTATATATATTCATTCCCAAGTCACAGGCCGAGCTTAGTGCCCAGCAATCTGCCCTGTTCTACTTTATGGGCGTCTTTGAACCACTGCTCGTGTATTTTAGGACCATCAAGTCAGTCATCCAGAAGCTAGATGGAATACAAGATAAGGATGGCAATTTTATTGAGGGGGTAGTGAATTTTTATCATCTGCTACGTATACCCAACAACCTAATACCTCGGTTGGAAATGGTGGTTGATGTAGAAGGGTGAAAGAAAAGTTGGGACGGCCAAACCAAGACATGGAATCAGTTCATGAAGACACTGACTATTGGACAGGCTAGTCAGTCATATGACGAGACTGAAATTCAACAACTGCTATACACTTAGACGTCTGTGATTGTATCAGAACAGAGAAATTACCTAAGCTGATAAGTGGTGTTATTCAGGAATGTCTAATCTTGTACTCATGACAGCTGTCACAAATTTTCCATAGAAATATAGCTTTCTGTTTCGCAATTCTCATAGATTGTGAAATTACTAAGATATAATCTGACAAAGTTTCGCTAATTTGCACTACTGTACCAGGTTTAGAGAGGCAATTTAATCACTTATTTTATCTGGATGGCTACCACGGCGCAAACATAACCGAAATAAATGGTATTAGTAAATTTATGTTGATTTTATTTTTAAAGTTGCATCATTAAGTCTAATAGAAGAAACTACATTACAAAACTCAATGGAAATTTAC